GCTCAGCGCGGGAGTCTGCTTCTCCCTCCGACCCTTTCCTCTCTCATACTCTCTCTCACTCTCTCTCTCTCTCAAAAAAAAAAAGAAAAAAAGAAAAAAGAAAGAAAACAACAACAAAAAAGCAAAAACTGCTAGACTGTCTTCCAAAGTGGCTCTGCCATTTTGGATTTCTACCAGCAAGGAATAAGACTTCCTATTGTTCCACATACTTCCCAGCTATTAGTTTTGTTTGTGTTTTGAATTTTAGCCTTTCTAATAGGTACATAGTGGTGTCTTGTTCTTTTAATTTGCAATTCTCTAATGGTATTTGATGAACATCTCTCCATATGCTTTTTTGACACCTGTATGTCTTCTGTGAAGTAACTGTTTAGATCTTTTGCACAGTTTGTAATTTGGTTGTTTTCTTACTGTTGAATTTAAGAGTTCTTTGTGTGTTTTGGGTACCATTCCTTTATCAGATATGTCTTTCCAAATATTTTGTCCCATTCTGTGGCTTGTCCTTTCATTCTCTTCAAGTTTTTCTCTTTTGACACACTTCTAACATTCAACACTTTATGAGTCAAAATGGCCAATTTTTAAATTAAAATAGTTAAGAAGGAAAGTTGTTCATATTGCTTGGGGATTTACCATTCTTTAGATATTTAAAGTCTTTGATTGCTGGGCTGTAATATCTCCATTTACTTTATCAGAAACAGAAACCCAATTTTTTAGTGGAGAAAAGAGGACAGAAAGAATGCAGTCTACCATTATTAGTTTATTACTCTAGGAAATCAAAATTGACTTTTCTGGATGTTCAGGGATTGATAGTGAATGATATACATGAACTATGAATGTCCTTGAGTCAGAGACATGACTTAATTCACATGAAACAGCAAACAAGACTAAAAACTATTATCTTCTCTAGTTAGGTAAATTATCTGTTAATTTAGAAAAACCTTTGTCGGGGCACCTGGGTGGCTCAGTGGGTTAAGCCGCTGCCTTCAGCTCAGGTCATGATCTCAGGGTCCTGGGATCGAGTCCCGCATCGGGCTCTCTGCTCAGCAAGAAGCCTGCTTCCCTCTCTCTCTCTCTCTCTGCCTGACTCTCCGTCTACTTGTGATCTCTGTCTGTCAAATAAATAAATAAAATAAAATAAAATAAAAAAAAAAAGAAAAGAAAAACCTTTGTCAACATTGTTTACTCCATTCTTGGCTCACTATGGCTATATATAAACAAGCCAATGACAGTAAAGTACTTAGATCTGATCACTTAAGGAATATCATGTCTTCAGCAACCAAATATTTAATGTAAATTCATTAAATTCAGTCTAATTGTTGAGCTTTAGTTAAATATGTTAGATGTTGTTACCTAAACATACACAGATGTCAATAAGTAGAAATACTAGCCTTGAAAAGTTGAACCGTGTGCAGAATGATAATAATAATCTGAGAAGAATCAAGGATTTAGGAGAGTTAGGAGTGATGCTACCTAGGGCTGGAAAATCAGTCCAGCTCCAACCAGTGGCATTCTTTCTCATCTGGTATGTGAAAGGATGCCAAAGCCACAGCCAGGCTCCATGAGAGAGAGCTTTATAATCATTTGTAACTTTGCCATGACACAGGGGACCCAATCATAGCCTGAAGCCCATGGCAGCCTTGCTCCATAGAATCTTATATCCTCACTCCAGGGTGAGAAAATGAAGACCCAAGTAATTTAAAAGGCTTTTCCAGTGTCACCACTTAGCTGGTGGCTGTGATCTTTAGCAGGTAGGAATTTTACTTTTTACGTATAACCATCTATGGTAGAGCCTTAACTACTGATCTTGGTTCTTAGGGGGGAAAAAACAAACTCCAGTGTGAAGATTGGAACACTATGTAATTGTCTTAAGAACGATGGTATTCAAAATATGTATAAATATTCAGTAAGAAAAAAAATCTGGTCTATCCAAGGGAGAGCTATGGATCATTAGTAGAAATCAAATTTCGAGAAGCCGGAAAAGTAAGATCTAGTTAGTATAGCAGTCTGTGCTTGAGCTAATCCATGCCACCTGTTAGACAAAGGCAAGAACACAGCAGCCAGAAGACAGCTAATTAAAACAATGCCCAAGGCAGCCTGCAGCATATTCAGAAATAATTCTACAATCAAGGGGCTGCAGGGTCAGAGAATAGAGGAGGCTCTGTAGAGAAGAGTTTATTTATTTGTATTTGTTTTGTTTTACTTTTACTCATTGAGAAAGTACTTGGGCCAGACGCTGGTGTCTGTTTTGGTATGTATGGGGGGTATCGTACGTGTCTGTAAATATTGTGGTCTAGCTAAAGCAGTTAGGTAGTAAGCAGGTAATTAACATCTAAAGAAAGAGCAGGATCTATTACTACTGAACTACTTATTGGCACCATGAAGAGTTGTATATTTGCTCCAAGAGCAAAAGTGCATATAGGGTAAGTTCTACATTACAGATTCTGCTACTTGTTGGTCAGTTGGGCTACAATAGCTAATGTTTATGGAATACTTGATATGTGCCACCACTGGGTCCAAGTTTACTTTGTTTTATGTTAATGTCATCCATTCCAAAGAAGGAAGTACTACCATACCCATTTTATGGAGGGAAAAACAGAGGTTCACACAGCTGCAAAGAACATAATGAAAATTCAAACCCAGGTTAATCTGCTAAAACCACCCCTGGCAATTACATAATACTGCCTCTCTCATAGAACTTCTCTGAACCTCTGTGTTCTGATCTGTCAACTGAAGATAATACCAGTAGAAGCCATTGGAAGAGCCAATTTTTTTTATGAAAACTTTATAATCTGTTAAACATTATTCAGATGTGATAAGCTGTTATTTATAAATAAAAGATTTAAACCAGTGAGCAGCATTTCATTGTCCTACCACTTATTCATATCCATTGAACAATGTTATTATGTAGTTTTGCTAATATGTAATTTATTTTCATGTATTATTAAACTTTTTACAAACACATTGATTATTTAGCTAACCACAATTTAGGCTTTCCTTTTCTATCATAGATTTATCTTTTTTCCTGAATAGTCCTGCTTCAGGGGGCTGAGCAATTAACTTCCAATATAATTACATTTGCATAGTAATACATAGCACTTAAAGGTTTCTGAATACTTACTATTTTGGCATGCACATTGTCTATCAATTTTTACATCTCTCATTGTTATTACATTAAATCTTAAAGGCAAATATGCTTAATGCATTATGTGTGAAGTGTTGGTAAGATACAAACAAAACATGGTTTAGTTTAACTGTTGCCATTTCATCCATCTCAGTCTCCAAGGCCAGGTTGAAAGACCTTTGAAGGATTCCATGAGAACGTGATACTGGGTATCACAGTAAATTAAGCCGATAGTTGTTTTTTTGTTTTGTTCTGTTTTGTTTTTTAATAAACATGTATTATTAGTCCCAGGGGTACAGGTCTGTGAATCTCCAGGTTTACACACTTCACAGCACTCACCATAGCACATACCCTCCCCAATGTCCATAACCCTACCACCCCCTCCCCACCCCTCCCCCGCCCCGGCAACCCTCAGTTTGTTTTGTGAGATTAAGAGTCTCTTATGGTTTGTCTCCCTCCCGAGCCCATCTTGTTTCATTTATTCTTTTCCTACCCCCAAACCACCCATGTTGCATCTCCACTTCCTCATATCAGGGAGATTATATGATAGTTGTCTTTCTCTGATTGACTTATTTCACTAAGCATAATACCCTCTAGTTCCATCCACGTTGTTGCAAATGGCAAGATTTCATTTCTTTTGATGGCTGCATTGTATTCCATTGTATATGTATACCACATCTTCTTTATCCATTCATCTGTTGATGGACATCTAGGTTCTTTCCATAGTTTGGCTATTGTGGACATTGCTGCTATAAACATTCGGGGGCATGTGCCCCTTCGGATCACTACGTTTGTATCTTTAGGGTAAATACCCAGTAGTGCTGGGTCATAGAGTAGCTCCATTTTCAACTTTCTGAGGAACCTCCATGCTGTTTTCCAGAGTGGTTGCACCAGCTTGCATTCCCACCAACAGTGTAGGAGGGTTCCCCTTTCTCTGCATCCTCGCCTAAGCTGGTAGATTTTTATTCCTCAGAAGATTACCTTTCTCCTTTCTGCAAGTGACAGCGTCATGCTAAAAAATGTAGCATAAATATCTATATCTCATATTTATAAATAATAACTAAAATCTTTAAACTTAACATTTTATGTCTAATAGGAAGGATTTCTCAAAAAGAAATTAAGAGAAAGTAGAACCCTAATGCAAAACTGAAATTTGTGACACACACACAAACCCACAATAATAAACTAATGAAGGTAATGGAATTTCTAAGTAAGGGTTGGACTAGAAAGTCTTCAGGGGAAGTCTGCCTAAGATAAGAAATAGGCTTGATTCTTCCCAGGCTCCAAATCTGCTCGCGTCAGGACTGAGTTAGGACATTCTGAAACATGGCTTTCATGTTGGTCCTTTATATTCTTTGACTCTCAAGATTTTTATATTTCACAAGATGTTTCAGACTTCCAAGCCCCACATCATTTCCCCCAGCTACTTCTGTTTAAAAATCATCCACTCGGGCCCCCTGGGTGGCTCAGTTGTTACACATCTGCTTTTTACTCAGGTTATGATCCCAGGGTCCTGCAATCCAATCCCTCCTTGCTCGGTGGGGAGCCTGCTTCTCCCTCTCCCTCTGCTGCTCCTCCTGCTTGTGTTCTCTCTCTTTCTCTCAAATAAATCTTTAAAAATAAAAAATTTAGAAAATCATCCATGGGTTACTGTCCTTAGTGGCACAGGTGAGTTTTGGTTTTGTCTGTTGGTTGTAGGGACACGGTTTTGTGGGTGTCAACCCACTTTATTGAACCTTTTCACTAGTTAAAGATGACATAGTGATCACATGTGGGCATCACATAAGTTGTAGCAAGCTGTATGTTAAATTTTAACCATTTTTATCCGTGGCAATTGAGAGAACTTCATGTGTGTTGATTTGTTCTGCTTTGTTTTCCACAGAAACGCTCCAGAGGCCAGGTGCTGTTTGATAAAGTATGTGAACATCTGAATTTGCTAGAAAAAGACTATTTTGGGCTTACATATCGAGATGCTGAAAACCAGAAGGTGAGTGATTAAAAGCAATACAAAACATATGTCTCAAACTGCTCGTTACTGTAAGAAAGGGAAGGAAAACTAAATCGGTATATCATTTTCTCTGCTTCCACTCCTCTATTTACTCCTTTGAGTCCCTAAATGCTGCTAATCGCCTTATTTCTTTATGAAAGATATTATTTTTTTAAAAGATTTTATTTATTTATTTGACAGACAGAGATCACAAGTAAGCAGAGAGGCAGGCAGAGAGAGAGAGAGAGGAGGAAGCAGGCTCCCTGTAGAGCAGAGAGCCCGATGTGGGGCTCGATCCCAGGACCCTGGGATCATGACCTGAGCCGAAGGCAGAGGCTTTAACCCACTGAGCCACCCAGGCACCCCATGAAAGATATTATTGACGACTACCTTTAATCTTGAATATTCTGGAAAGAGAAATTCCGTTTTTCACACCTGAGTTATTTATAGTTCTAGGAAAGCATTTTATATCGTACTTTTTTTGGGTGATGTATTTCAGTGAATTTGAGCCCATGAAAATCAAATACGTTGATTCTTACATAGAAAACATGTTCCCTGACTGCTGTCCTGTTCCTAATTCATCTTAGTATGCTTCCATATTCTTACAAAATCGGAATATGACATGGGTCGTTTGCTGACTGGAGCCTTGTCTAATGTATTCAGCAGGTATTTAATGTTTAATTTAATACTTCTATAGACTCTTACACCTGAGTAATGCAGTCTGCTCGGGGCTTTGCCTCACTAATTCCCACTACTACCTGAAAAATAAAGAAGAGGAAACTGTTCCTTTGTGTTCGTGTGAGGAACTAAGTCAAAGAAATTTTGCTCATAGATGTTATTTGTTTTGATGTTGTGCAATGAATCATACTTAATGCCTACCCAATTCACTGAACAATGTCTAACTTCGTTATTGAACATCTGAGTTTTCTGATGAGGAAAATAATAAATCTCAAGCAGGTGTGTGTTTGTTAGGCAAGTGCCTAAGAATCTGTAACTATGGAAGTCATTTTGTGGGCCTGAATGGCCAGGGCATCAGTGGACATTATGTATGTTTAATTTATTCTAGTAACTTCTTTGAACATTGAATCCACTATTTTTTTTTTCTCCTCTGTTGCTGTACTAGCTCGAATCTTTGAAGGTAGTGTTGTAAAAGAAAGGAATGTTGTCATGCATGAATTGTGCCTGCACAACACACATTTTCTCATTAAGTTCGTGCCTGGGCCCTCACAGGATCTGCTGAAGAGCACCAGCTGTGGGGGAAGGACCCAGCTTGGAGGGCCTGCCAGTAACCATGCACTTTGAAATACGCTTAGTGCGTGATCATCATCAAGTTGTTTTTATTCTTCTCCAGTTCAAATTCAAACTGTCATTTCCTTTTCAGAATTGGCTGGACCCTGCTAAGGAAATAAAAAAACAGATTCGAAGTAAGTCCTTTTGGATTATTTTACATGGTGATGTGAAGATTTTCAGAGAGCAGGGTTGTCTGAATTGGTGGCCCATACCCACACTGCTAGTGTGAATACAGTATTTTGTAAAAGACAGATTAAGATCTCAGATTTTATCTCTGACAGGTTGGTCTAGCTTAAATACCCATTTTTAATCATCACAGCTTGGGAATTAAATGACTATGACATTTGACCTATTCCCCTGCATGTTCCCAGAATATGCAATGTGATTTAATCAAGTGATGCTCCAGTTGGCAATTAACCATTTAAAAGCTCCCAACGTAATTATTAATGTTAAATTAAGCCTAACTGCCACAAAAGTAGAAAAGTTAAGCTAAAGGTGGTAGTTAGTGAATGGTTTAGAAATGGAATAACAAGTCAGATAGCAATTTACTATCTGGTAACAACCTCTTTCCTTGGTCCCTAAAGGCAAGTTAAGAAATCCCATGTTTCCAGCAATTACAAGGGCAACTCGCAAAACTGAAACACAGGTAGCTAGTAAGTACAAGACAAGTTGCTGAATCTTACTAACTATTGAGTACACATTAAAACAAGATACCGTTTTTCACTTATTCAGGTTAACGGAGATTTAAAAGTTTCTTAATGCACTGTACTAGCAACTATGGACACAGCTGATAGAAGGATAAATTGGTACAACCCTTTGAGAGAGTTTCAGATTTAAATATTTGTTAATTTAATATTTTATTTGTTATTTAATATGTTTAGTATATATTATAATTCATTATTAAATAAATTTGATATAATATTTAGTCTTTATTAAAATTTAAAATGTGCTTATTCTTTGACCCTTAATTTTATTTATACAGATTCATCCAGCATATGTATAAGAGGGGAGGATGTACATATGTGTACATGCATGAAAATTTGTTATAATATTGTTTGCAATAGCAGAAAACTAGAAGCAACTTAAATATCCGCTTATAAAGAATGAATTAAATCAGTCATGGAATAACCATAACTTGAAATACTAAGCAACTATCAATATAATGAGGTAGAATGTGTTTTAGTTCTCATTAGTGAGACAAGTGACATCTGTTTAAAAGAAGTTATGCATATATATACATACATATATATGCATATATATATATGTAATAAATTTTGGAAGAGCACAAAAGCTGTCAGTAGTATCTCCAGAAGTGGTACCACAGTATAAGGGGTTAAGAAAGAGGATTTTTTTTTTATTTTAACCCTTTTCTGTAGCTCTTTTACTAAAGACATGGATAATCTTTATAATTGTAAATAACTAGTTAATTTTTAAAGCGATTTTTTTGTCAGTAAACTTGATAAATTTTTCGAACAACTAAATCTAGTTGAAGAATAAATTTAAGAGCAATACATTAATGAGAATGTCATGCCCATGGAAGTTTTCAGCAATTTCCTATTAAAAAAGAGCAAGTATTTCCATTGCCTTTGAATGTGTTGAAATATCAAAACACATCAAGTACTAATAACAAGTGGTAGTGAGCATTTTGAAATGGCTTAATAGAAGATAGTATCTCCAAAAAAAATAAAAAGCTCTCCCTTCTAGATATTACAGAAACTGATGGTTATGTATACAACTAAAACATCTTTACCACATTTTTGAGAGAAATTTGATAATCAAGTTAGATAGAAATAAATTGGAATTGAAACCAGGGACAGCTCCAGATGTGAAAACACTCCTTCTTTTTGTTCCAAGAGCCCTAATAAAAAATGTAAGATGATGAATATGTTCTAAGAATCCTTCTATGGATTTACTCAAAGCAGATGTGGTGAATATATATCCTATCGTGTTGTGTGCATAAAGTTCTCTGTAGTCATTTAATTAAGGAAATGCTGTTTTTTAGTTGGGTGATTGATAATTGCAATTCCTTTGAAAATATAAATATCTGGGATAAATAACAATATTGGCAGAAGAAAAGCTATGTAAATGTTAGTTTTCTTATCTGTTGTTAATGGAATTCTTTTTTTTCCCTTTACTTCCCATTTATCCTATCTCCCACCTTCTGTGGGCCCGATCTCACCACCCTGAAATCATGACCTGAGCTGAAACCACGAGTAGGACGCTTAATCCACTGAGCCATCCAGGTGCCCCTCCTACCTTCTTTTCTAAGAGAAGAAAGAGGACAATCAGAACATGAGATTTAAAGGATATTTTCATCAGGTAGATTAGGGTAACGATAACATAAAGAGAACTAAGTGACAGTCCTGAAGATAAAGGAGGAAGCAAGGACAATTGCAATTTTTTAATTGAATTTGGTATTTTTATCTGTATTCCTTATTGTTTCCCATGCACACAAATGCCCTCTTTCTGTAAAATTTACCTTCTACCAAGGCAGAGAACTCTTATCCTATCTAACAGAATTATTGTACCGTCACCTCCTTTTCCTAAATATAAATGATGACAGCGAAACACAGATCAAAACCACAGTGAGATATCACCTCACCCTGTCAGAAAGGCTAAAATCAAAAAGACAATAGGAGGGACTGGGTGGCTCAGTCTGTTAAAAGTCCAACTCTCGATTTTTGGCTCAGGTCACAATCTCAGGGTCATGAGATTGAGTCCTGAGTCGGGCTCCACCCCTAGGGGTGGAGTCCGCTTTAATTCTCTCTCTCCCTCTCCTCCTGTCCCTTCCCCACCCACTACCAACAAACCAGTGTTGGTGAGGTTGTGGAGAAAAGGAACCCTTGTGCACTGTTGGTGGGAATGTAAGTTGGTGCACCCATGGAAAACAGTATGGAGTTTCCTCAAAAAATTAAAAACGGAAATAGCATACGATCTAGTAATTCCACCACTGGGTATTTACCCAAAGAAAATCAAAATAGTATTTTAAAAAGATGTATACACCCCTGTATTTATTGCAGCATTATTTACAATAACCAAGATAATGGAAGCAGCCAAAGTATCAATAGATGAATGGATGAAGAAGCTATGGTGGAATACTACTCAGCCATAAAAAAGAATGAGATTTGCCATTTGCAACAACAGGGACTGACCTAGAGTGTACTGTGCTGAGTGAAATAAAGCAGACAGAGAAAGAGAAATATCCTATGATTTCACTTATGTGTGGAATCTGAGAAACAAAACAAAAAAAAGCAGAAACAGATCCACAAATACAGAGAACAAACTTATAGCTACCGGGGATTGGTGGGGGAGGGATGGGCAAAGATGGGTGAAAAAGGGAGTGGAAGATACAAGACTTCCAGTTATGGAATGAGAAAGTCACAGAGATGAAAGAGCTTGAGGAATATAGTCAGTGGTATTGTAATAGTGTTTTATGGTGGCACATGGCAGCTACGCTTGTGAGTAGAGCATAATGTCTGGAGTTGTCCAGTCTCTATGTAGTACATTGGAAACTAGTATAACATTGAGTGTCAACTATACTTCCATTGATATGTGTGTGTATATTTAGACACACTTGTATAAATGATAAAAGGATATTTCCATTCTTTTCCTGCTGTTGTTGCATAGAATGTCTCTAGAATGAGATCTTCAAGAGAATGGCGATCAACCTGATAAAGCTTTTAAGTTGCAAACTGATGAGAAATAGAAAATTCTGAAACTGAAGAGTTTGCTCTTATGAGAAAAAATTATAATTCTAGTCATTTTTTATGCAGACTCAGATGTTTACATTTCTAAATATACTGTATTTTAATATAAATATATTTATGATATAATTTCATAAATGGAGTATATGATCTATATACTGCATATAGCAATTTATAGTAATTTTATGCTGTGAATGCAGAATATTTAAAGTTTCCAAGATTTGGCAGCCATACAATACTAAAATTAGAATTTTTTATAAGAATGGACTCTCTTCAGTTTCATAGTTTCCCATCATAAATTTGCGACTCGAAATCCTATATCGACATACAGGAATATCATTTTAATGCATTCAGGTGGTTTCATTTCCTGTGTCTATCCAGGGCCACCATCTGAGCAGATTCGGGCTTGCAAGCCCATTCATTACATAACCATGCCTTCCCACTCAATTTGCTTCTGTCAGATTCTTTATGGGGATCTACATTTGAACTTTAATCTGCCTCTCGTTAATTTCAAATCTTATGCCTTATTTAACTAGATATTTTTCCTCTTGATTAGGATGTAGACTGTAGTTTTTGAAACTTCCCACTCTTTAAAAATAATACCCCCAAAAAACCTGCAGTTGTTTGGGTTATAACCTCATGAAAATGGATTTCTTGGGATTAGTGATTTTCATAGTATGGTTCCCAAACCCACCTGTACTCAGACCACAAGGGGGTTGATTAAAACCACAATTCTAGACCATATTTCCCAGTCTCTGGAATAAAACTCTCTGCGGGGAGCCTAGAAATTGACATTTTTAGCAAGTACCTCAGATTCTTAAACCAACTATAGTTTGAAATTCTTTTTCCTGCCCTGAGGATTTTGCTTTGAACTATCTTTCTTATACCCCCCACCTTTTTGTTTTAAGAATTTTATTTATTTAGGGCACCTGGGTGGCTCAGTCGTTAAGCGGCTACCTTCAGCTCAGGTCATGATCCCAGGTTCCTGGGATCAAGCCCCACGTCGGGCTCCCTGCTCAGTGGGAAGCCTGCTTCTCCCCCTCCTACTCCCTTGCCTGTGTTCCCTTTCTCTCTCTATCAAATAAATAAAATCTTTTTTTAAAAAGTTACTTACTTTAGAGAGAGAGAATGTGTGCACGTGCAAATGAGTGGAGCAGCAGATGGGGGAGGGAGATAGAATCTGAAGCTGATCCAGCCCTAAGCGCAGATCTGGATGTGCAGCTCGATCCCACCACCGGGAGATCTTTACCTGAGCCAAAACTAAGAGTCCGACACTTAACCAGCTGAGCCACCCGGGCACCCCTCTTTCTTATACTTTTATTATGTCAAAGTTTATCTTGAATTTATTATGAGATTGTTTAATTACATTGATCAACCACTCACTTGGTTCAGGGCATACTTTGAAATAGATAAAAAGGACAAAAGAGCAATAAATCCATTTCCCATAACTAATCCATTAATTTTCATTCCAGTTGCTTGGGGGGAGAGCCCGCTCTCACTTATGAACCTCACCATCGGCAAGCAGTAAAGGGATCCATATTAGCAGAAAGTGCCTAGGAATCAATAGGAAAATAAAACGAGATCAGACCCTTTTTTGATTAACAAAATGGAAAAATCATCACTAGAAATATATGGGATTGAGGGATAACTTACAATTCTTAGAGCCTATGTTTCAGGAATATTTTCTGAGCGATTGAAAAATGATAGCATTTGTGATACGTGGCTTTATGCCAGTTCTTTATAAGCTACCTCAGGCAGTGATCCTGCCGTGTGGAATTTTAAGTGGATTATGAATAGTCGTGTTGAGAATAAACTAGACTAATAAATGTAACTATGCTGCTTATGACAGAAACACAGGTAACCTGTGCAGCTAAGTATTTGCCTCATACTCAAGAGAATAGCCCAAAGAAAAAAGCTGGTACTTAGAATTCTACCCCTTTTTTCTCAATGTTTGCAAACCACTCATGGAGCAAATGGAGTTTCCAGAAGTCATTTAATGGGGAGGAGGGAGTGTTGGGCATCTTAGGGGGATAGTTGAGGCTTAAGAGCTGGAGTGTGAAATCACAGAGAGAAAGGAAGTAGCTACAGCTCATGGTATAGATGAAAGGCCTCCCGTATGGAAGCCAAGGAGACTGGGAGGAGTTTCTCAGTAGCGCCTTCCAAGTACAAGCAGCTCAACGCTGTAGCCCTTTCCTGGCCATTGTGTGGGGGAGAACAAATGTCCCTCGAAGGAACACCCAGACTTGAAAGAGTTACCGCGTTAAAAGCCCAGAAATAAAGAAGGAACTGAGTACGATGAGTTCAAGTAGGGATGAGGTGGAGAGAGAGTAAATGTAGAAAAGAAGAAAATGTTTCTCCATATTTATAGTGATAAACCATACACCAGTAGAGACCGTATTAATAAAATGGAGAGCTTCAGAAGGCGTCATGATGCTTCAGGTGTAAGGGTGGGGAGCACGGAGAGCCGGTCGGTGACTGTCCGCTGCCACCTGGTTGATTGTTTTCCTTGTGGGAGAGGAGGCTGTAAGGAGAGGCCATGGGATCAAGAACAGTAACTCGTCAAGAGCACCCGTCCAAGTCCTGGGCTCATAAGGAGGTGGGGGAATTTGGGGAAACACTGTTCATGCCTTCAGGCATCTCTCAAATCAACAATTTCGCCAAGGAAGAAAATTTTCAGCAGCTGGAGAGCAGCTCACTTAAATATTCACAACAAACCTTCCCAGAAAACAAAAATATCTTGAAACTTTCCTTGACATGTATTATAATGGAATTTGACCTGTAATAACAAAGCAGAAAGGACAAAGCAAATGGGATTATGTCTGTACGGTTGGTATGTGAGCTATCTAGAATTTCAGAGCAGTAGAGCCAGTCAGTTCCGGACTTGTCTGTCAGCATTATCCCTGTCATTCACGTATTTTCCCCCTCTTCCAAGGGCTTACCTTTGTCCCTGAGAAAGGGAGGAAATGTAATCAATTTCCAGGCTAGTTAGAAGCACCAATAATGGATTTGGGGCAAATATTAAGGACTAGATGAAGTCAAACATATCTGGATTTCGTTGAACTTGAGGCTTTCCCGTTTTCCACGGAGGAGCCCATATTGCTTGGGAGCTAGTACTTGGAGTTAAGGCGGTTCTCACTATCAGAATAATAAGTAGAAAGGGATTTTCTGAGTTTTGATCCTAATTTTTCTCTCATCTCTGCAGGTGGTGCTTGGCACTTTTCATTTAATGTGAAATTTTACCCACCAGACCCTGCCCAGCTATCCGAAGATATCACCAGGTATTTGAAAGTTGGCTCTGAAAAAGGCAGGCTTTTCTTTATTCTCTGGGGAAGAGCATGCTTACATCTGGGAACCTTTCAGTCATCCACGCCAGAAATGGCAAACCAAAGGCAACGGAGCGAGAGCAAACATCTGATGAGAAGATTTGCCAAATCCTATCTGTTCACAGTTGAATCTTTGGTGCTAAGCTGATACTTCCGTCTGTCTGACCTTGGCGGGAAAACTTGCAGAATTGAGATACTGTCATCCACCCACCACCGTCAAATTGGATGGGATTCAGCCTTACGTGATACGGCAGTTCCTAGTGCTCCTGCTCTAAAACTCAGAGTAAAAATGTGTCTTTGGATGCTTCTGCTGTTTATATAACCAGTCTGATACACGACAGCTATTTTAAAAAATCAGGCACCAAATGCACACAGAGGAGAGTTTACTTTCTCTGCCCTGTGTGTGCAGGAAAAATGATTCATTCATTTGGGGGAAGGAAGACTGAAGAAAGGAAACTAACATAAAAATATCCTGGTGCAGTGACTTGAGCTTTGGGTGTGCGAGGAGATCCCTTTAGGAGGCTATCCTGGGTTTGCCATGTGCTCTAGGCTCCTTCACATCCTACTTTGGAACTGCTGACTCTCTCGCCCTGCTTGGTAGTAAGTTTACAGCCAATCAGAGTGACGTTATGCAGTGTGTACCGAATTTTCTGCATGCTTCTTGGAGGGCTTTTCAGAAAAGGGGAATTACTCCAAACAGCTCTAATCACTGGCTAGGAGTAAAAATAGTTCCAGCAGACGTATTAGGCAAAGAGTAAAAGAAATAGTTACAAAGGATTTCTTTTATATTTTTATTAAATCTAGGAAAATAGATGACTTCTTATTTAAAGATACTTTTAATAATATTGAAGAACCACTTAATTGTGGCTAATTTATTGGTTATGGAGCCACATATACCTGACATGCGATGCCTGGTTCCTTTCTGTTTGTGCAATGTTTGCAGAGCCTGTGGAATGTGTAGAAATTTCTATATCTGTATTACATGGAGTTTTTTTATATCAGCTTAAAATCACATTTGAAGGGGGCGTTAAGACTTTAATCATTGTCTTCATCTTCAGCAGATTAACAATTTATTTCTTATATGAACGGTGCAAGGATATATTATTGTTATGCCTATATCCTGGGGCATGAAGGGTTTTTTTTTTTTTTTTTTAAGATTTTACTTACTTATTTGACAGAGAGAGAGATCACAAGTAAGCAAGGAGGCAGGCTCCCTTCTGAGCAGAAAGCCCAATGTGGGGCTTGATCCCAGGACCCAGAGACCATGACCTGAGCCAAGGGCAGAGGCTTAACCCACTGGGCCACCCAGGTGCCCCTATAAAGGGTATTATTAAGAGTTATCAACATTAGCACTTACCTTGGAGTCTCCTGCAGTTAGTAGTCTATCTGTAAATCTTGAAAAGCAAGAAGCAGAGGAAATAAGTCAGCTATCAGTGGCGATATCTGTATATCTTGGCCACATTAAATGGAAAATAACTCTTACTCCTTGAGTATAAAGCTGTTTACTTGTAGGGATGAGGTGCTCAGATTTTAAAGTAGTAGTTCTTCAGAGTTAGTCTTCATATCAGTTGGATTCTAGGAAGTTCCCTAAATAAAAAAATGAGGACTGGAAACGGGAGCAATTGTTTGTTATTACGAAGAGACCATGGCATCAGGAAGGCAGGAGTAGGTGCAGTCGATGGTGCTGTAGCTGGTGAGTTAGCTGAAATCGGCCTTGCTCACATGGCGGGATGCTTAACCGATGCAGCAAAATGACACTTAAGGCTGGTAGAGACTTAGTAATTGCATTTAGCTGCACCATTGTTATATGATAATTCCCTCAACCAGAGATTTCAGGGAGTGTGTTGGGGGAAATCACTGATTTGGATTTTAAATGTTAGTTATTTTAAAAGATGTTAAAGAAATATGTCTTGAGGTTTCTTCTTCTCAGTGCCATTAATAAATAAATTTATTTTTAATAAATAAAATTTTTAATTTTATCTTTATGAATAATTAAGAGTAATAATACTTCACTAATAAAAAAAATTATTAGGAGCATTGACTTGCCTCAAGATGCCCTTTAATATTGTATTTTAGAGCCAAGTATTTTCCCCTTACATCTAAAGCAAAGTAGAGATGCTAGAAAATTTGTCCTAGTGAGATCATTCCCCAGGAAGGAATTGCTTACAAAGCGATTTGTACCAAGTGGCCTGCTTTTCTCCTGTCCTCATGCTGGATTTTTGCTTTGTCTTTTGGCTCCTGGAAGGTACTACCTCTGCCTACAACTGCGAGACGACATCGTGTCCGGAAGGCTGCCCTGCTCCTTTGTCACCCTGGCCCTGCTGGGCTCCTATACCGTCCAGTCCGAACTTGGAGACTACGACCCAGATGAATGTGGGAATGATTACATTAGTGAGTTCCGCTTTGCGCCAAACCACACGAAGGAACTGGAAGATAAAGTGATCGAGCTGCACAAGAGCCACAGGTTAGTGGCAGAAAGCCTGAGAACATTGGTTTGGCTTTGCCTTGATGGGCAATCGTCCTTTGTATTACCTGCTCTTACCAGGCTGTGTTTCAGGGGCATGAAGGGTGGGACCGTAGCAGACTGAGGTTCTGTATTTTATTTGGTTCTGGGGTAGTTACACTCTTCCTTCTGGTATTCTGGTTGTTGTTCTTGTTTAGAGAGAGAGAAAGAATGGGGAGAGGGGAGTGGGGGGAGGGTAGATGGACAGTGAAAGAGAATCTTAAGCAGGCTCTACATTCAGTGCAGGGCCCGACATGGGGCTTGACCTCATGACCCTGAGATCATGACCTCAGCCGAAATCCAGAGTCAGACACTTAACTGACTGAGTCACCCAGTGACTTTAAAAGCCATTTTCCTTGGGGCACCTGGGTGGTTCAGTTAGCTAAGTGGCTGCCTTCAGCTCAGGTCATGATCCCAGAGTCCTGGGATCCAACCCCTGTCAGGCTCCTTCTCAGTGGAAAACCTGCTTCTCCCTCTCCCTCTGCTATTCCGCTGCTTGTGCACTTGCTCTCTCTCTCTCTCTCTCTCCTCACCTCTCTGTCAAATAAATAAATAAAATCTTTTTTAAAAAAATGAAAGCCATTGTTCCTGTTATTCTCCGCCACCCCCTTCAGAGTATGAATCTGCTGCTGCCTCTATGGGGTTTGCTTATGAGATAGCAAGGCTAAGTGGGAAATATTGCGGTCCTGTCAGGTAAAAGAAAAGCAGCATTGTGACATTTTTTTTTTTCCCCTTATCAGAGGAATGACGCCAGCAGAAGCAGAGATGCATTTCTTGGAAAATGCCAAAAAACTGTCCATGTATGGGGTTGATTTACATCATGCCAAGGTATGCATTTTTTAAACCTCAAACTTCCTATTTAATTTTCTTTAATGCAGTGTTGTTATTACTATAAGCTGGTGATTTTTTACTTCCATCATTAAAAACTTTGGGGATCCAAATCTGTGTTTGCTTTAAGGCCCATTCAATGATAAGGCAAATTGAGCTCTCTGAGATTTTACTGAAGGGTTTGCTCTGCATGTCTCAAACTCCCATAGCTCATGGCCTCAGCTGCTGAAAGCCTTAGTTAGGCAAAGCCTCAGTTTGCCCCTTGGTTCAGTTAGAAATTTATCTTCACATAACAAGCTCCTAACGCAGCCCCCTTTCCTGTCACGGTTTTATTTCCCACTTTGTGCCAACATGTTCCCTTTGCTTCTGCCAGATCCTGTCTCTACGTCTTCCCTGAATATGCCCATCCTTGCCTGAGCTGCCCTCCTCCTTTCTGTCTACCTGACCCAACTGTGGCCAATTGTCCAAGACCCACCTGTCACATCTCTTATGTGCCAAGTACTGTTGGATGCCTCTGTTCTGGATGCTTCCCCGGGCGCTCTGCAAATTCTCGTCAACTTTAAATAGCTCTCTCTAGAACTTAGGTTCTCTGACACATAATCAGTGCTTTGAAATAAGGTTGTCATTTTAGTTCAACTAAAATTAGGCCCCAAAGCTAAGGATTGCCTCATTGATTGGTAATGGGCGAAATGTCAAAGCTGTATCTTGGCCACAGAGTCTTTTGAAGTTGGAACTGGACTGTAGGAGGGTTGAGGTTGTGAGGCTGCATAAAACATTTGACTCCAGGTCACACTTTCCCAGAATCTCTGTATTTTTTCCAGAGCGAGAGAGTGAGTATATGGACTGTTCATCTGGTATTTGAGCAGCTGTGAATAAAAGTACTGTAGAAGCACAGACAAGCCTTCTGGAAACTTCTATCCAAAGCATACGAAATTTGTTAGGATCTTAGGGATGGATTCTGGTCTTTCAGTAACATCAAAAAAAAAAAAAAGATCCATGCTTGAAATTCAAGGGTAGTTCCTTCTGATTTGGGCTATCAAGAGACTGTCACTCCTGTATAGGAACATGTCCTTATTACTGATGGACCAAGCAGTCACCCCTGTCGTGGTTTGGGACCCGAAAGAACATGCAGGTAATAGGCTTCGAGGCATGCGAGTATCTGACACAGTCAAGGTTGGGGCCAAGAAATGAGAATTTCAGCTGGCTCTGTTGAAGCAAACATCTTGAGGACCCATGGGAGGGAAATCTGTGGTCTGTAGGCTCCACTGACGCTGCCCGTGGGGCCACTCCCTGGTTGGCTCTTCGAGAGCAGACCGATCCACCCTGTGTTTGAACAAGAAAATGGCAGCCATCAAACACATATGAGTTTGATGGGTTCTGTCTGTGGATCATTTCGTACATCATACAGGGTGAGCATGTTCAAGACCTAAAGGCCTGAACACAAGCAAAATCTCGGAGACTTGGCTGGGACATCCTGGGGATGTGCCGGGACATTGACTGCTAAGCTTTTTGACATTTGTGTGTAATTACAACAGCAGGTGTAGCCCTGTTTACTTGCCAGTTCATTATTCTTTTTTTTTTTTCACTTATTTTTCACTTGGATAAGAAAGTGTTTTATATTGTATGCTGTATAAGGTAGGAAGAGGATTTAAAAAAGAAAACGAGGACACACACGAAGATTGTTTTTCTCTTCGAGTTTTTCCTTTGGTGGCTAGCAGATAAGGGAACAAGAGGGAAATGAAGGTCGCCTGAAAATTTGAGTGAATTGAAAGCTATTTTTGAAGTTAGGTTACACATGATGATTCACTTACTGCCCGGGAAAAATAAATAAAAGATTAGGGCTTATGTTTGGGAAGGGCAACTCAGCATTTATCAGTGTTCTTATCAGTACAAATAAAATCACTTAACATTGCTGTAGCTGCTAAAGTAAAATAGATCACTGCTTTTTCATTCACTAATATGATTCGAAATCATGCCAATTAAAAAGAAGGGATTAAGGAAGCACAAACGCAGCCTATTTTAGGATTTCATCTGAATATTAAGTATAACGAATGTTCAGTTGTGGACTCCCATTTTCTCTGGCAGCCACAGTCCATCATTTCAAGAAGGAAATTTACTGAATTAAATTAGAGCGGATTTCCGGTTGTAAGTGAGAAGATGATCTTCTGTGGGTGGTATGAAAGGCCCTGAGCTTTAGGGCCCATTTAGAAATTCTGTATTGTGATCTTGGACTCTGTGACTCTGTATAAAGAATGAACAACATATTACGAGATGAAGCTCCCTTGTTTTGGAAAATCTTTCCTACATGCTTCATTTTTTTTTCTTAGGAAGACTGTCTCTGCTCGTTTGTCACTTACTGTCAGCCTGAGTAGGCTCAGTCAGAGTCATTTACCTCATACGAGATTCTGAGATGTAGATAGGTAGGTCTAAATCCCTGCTGGATATCCCACAGACCGAGTGATAAGTGAATGACAGTGAAGTTGGAACAGTGGTTTTAAATTAAGGGACTAGTCCACTCATTTATTTTAATTATGATAGACTGAGACTATCCAGATCTTCCTTCCATGTTCCCCACTAAAGGGAGTATTAAATGTGTCAACATATTGATAGGGAAACACACATGTCCCCAAGAAAGACCGCCGTGACAGCTTTCAATGCAAGAGATGTATCAAGGGGCGCCTGGGTGGCTCAGTGGGTTAAAGCCTCTGCCTTCGGCTCAGGTCATGATCCCAGGGTCCTGGGTTCGAGCCACGCATCGGGCTGCCTGCTTGGCGGGAGGCCTGCTTCTCCTTCTCCCATTCCCTCTGCTTGCGTTCTCTCTCTCACTGTTTCTCTCTGTCAAATAAATAAAATCTTAAAAAAAAAAAGAAAAAACAATATAGGTTGGAAAAATTAGGTCTACACAAAGAAATGACACGCATCAGAAATAGAAGGAATGAAGGCAAAGTAAAAAAAAAAAAAAAAGACGTATTAAGCCAACGTCAGGACTGTGGGCTATGGCAGAAGACTGGATATCGGAAGTATATTTTGTCATTGCTGGTGGATTAATGAAGTGGAAACGTTCATCCAGTTTAAAACCCCACATATTCCTGACGTTTTCTGTCTTCATTTGCCCTCTCTTCTAACATGGAATGGCTGCTCTCAAGCAGTGTCCAGTCCTGAGCACGAGGAAGTGGGCGTTCACTGCCACCCCACTTGCTTGGGGTGCGCAGCTGACGACAACAATATGGGGACAACAATATGGGGGACACGCAGACGTGTGTGGTGGCAGCGAGCCTGAGACGAGCGGTCAGCGAGGGTTTCCTGCTCTTCCCCGTGAAGGATGCTGTCTTCTCATTATCTGGAGACACTAATGGACGATTTTAAAATAGATACTAGTGCAAGAGGCTCTAACTCTGTATTTATCAGGTAAAACAGAAAGCGAGTCAAGGAGCTTTTACTCCCAACATTCCTCCCTCCATGCCTGCATTTTTGCTCATGGTACGGGAGGGTCACTGAGCAGCCCTGGGGACAGATTATGCAGTTCCGAAGGCTCAATAGTGCCAGTTACACGTCGGCCTCAGGCTCTAGCTCTTCCATCTGCTCTTTCAGATGAAAGCCCTTGATAAATGGTGGGCAGTTTCTGGTCTTTGAATTCTCCTCAAATTTAATTATGCTGTAATATCCTGCCATCAAGTATTTCCACTTCTGTAGAGTAATTTCGTATCTAATGGAGTGATCCATTTCCCCAGTGAAATTTCATTTTAATCCAGTTAGTTCGTATTTCCCAGATCCCGGACTTGCATTTCCCAGAGATGGACCGAAATATTTATTTTTGATTCTGGAAATACTCGTTTTATGCCTTGCACTGACGAGATTTAGGAAGTAAATTCCCACAATATGGATGAGTCAGAATCTCCTGTTTGGATGCTTCCATTTCCCCGTCCCCTCATCGCCGCTACAGAGGGACTCAGTGCCAGGGACAGTTGTGACGATTAATGTGACAAAAGACCTCAGCTTTGCCTCTTAGGTGCCCCCTGCTTCCGACATCCAGTAAGACCAGGACGTGGAGATTGAGTCTCACACACAGTCCTGCCTTCTGTCCTTTATCCTCTCCATGCAGGGTCACTGCACATGTTCCTTTTACCCCGATTTCACCCAAATACAGCATTTATGAGGCATTGGCTATCCATGCAATGTCTCCTGAGCTTTATATGACCTCTCCAATGACCTCCGAGACTTCTCATCCCACATCCCTAGAAAATGACCTAAACATGAAACGTGCAAGTAGCAGACAATCCTGTTATAGTGTGCTCCCACTTAAAAAAGAAAACTGGAGAGATACAGAGAATGTGTCTCTATTTATGTATGTGACTCAGTTCCCATTATGACTGGGCAGTGTGTGTGTTAGAGACATGTTGGGGAAGTATGTTCCTACTTGAAAAGCCTATTTTATATTTGAAGTTCTGACCTTAGTGGTGTATTAAAAAAAAAAAAATCAAGGCTCTGTTTTAATGGAACAAACTCCAAAATACTCATTAGAAAGGACAGGGCCCCTCCATTAGTACACGTAGGAGTCGAAAGCCTTGCCTCTGGAACCAGGCTGCCCATAAATTCAGCTGGGGTGGGCACTTAACCTCAGCACGCTTTAAAAGTTTCCTCATCTGAGTGAAATAAGTCAAACAGAGAAAGTCAGTTATGGTTTCACTTGTGGAGCATAAGGAAGAACACGGAGGACATGGGGAGATGGAGAGGAGAAGTGAGTTGGGGGAAATCGGAGTGGGAGATGAACCATGAGAGACTGTGGATTCTGAGAAACAAACTGAGGGTTTTGGAGGGGAGGGGGAGTGGGGGATTGTGGGAGCCTGGTGGTGGGTATTATGGAGGGCACGTACTGCATGGAGCACTGGGTATGCTGCATAAACAATGAATCTTGGAACACTGAAAAAAATTTTTTTAAAAAGTTTCCTCATCTATAAAGTAGGAAGAGTCCTAGGAACTATCTCAGAGTCTCCTAGTGAAGAGTAAAGGAGTTAATGTTACACACGTGTACACTGGTAAGAGCCGTTCCTGGCGCTCGGTTGTGAGACCTGTCTCTCTGGTTTGTACCGTCATCAGCACGTCATGCGGACGGTGTCCTCTCTGTACAGTACTTACGTCATGAGCCATCAGTGAGCCAGTTCTACACTCACACGTCTCCACAGTGATCAAGATCTTCATTATCAGCCGATTATCGATTATTTAGGGGGAACATACAAAAAAAAAACCAACAAAAAACGACGGGGTATTTTTCTTACTGAAATTAGAATCGTCGGCAGTCAATTACAGGTTCCTTCACAGAATGCTACGGTGCGTTAAATGCCACCCTCATCCCACGTGGAAACCCGTGAAATACTGACCCAATGTTTTCTTGATGCCGTTTTCCAGGATTCTGAAGGAGTAGAAATTATGTTAGGAGTTTGTGCGAGTGGTCTGTTGATATATCGTGACCGCCTGAGGATCAACAGATTTGCCTGGCCTAAGGTTCTAAAAATTTCGTACAAACGGAACAACTTTTACATTAAGATCCGGCCAGGAGAGGTAAGTCCCCGCCCCACAGTTGACGTGTACATTGGAAAGAAAGGTACCCAGTGGCAAAAAGGAATGTAAATTGCCAGCTCCCAGGTTCTGAGCATCATGGGACATGGTGAGTTATGTGTCCATGCCTATGAGAATTTTTTGTAGGTTTGTTTGATATATAGCAATAAGTAAAATATACTCTTCTTCTTAATGGTCTGGTTCTAATTTTGTCCCACTGCATAGATGGAAAAGTTTTTATTTTTGCAGATTTTAGCGTAACCTCAAGATACATGTATAATGTTCCATATATCTCAGACCAAGGTATAAAAGAAACTCTGAGGTACTAAAACTTTTGTGAATAAAGAACAGATTTCTTCCCGTCTGTCCCTGTTTTATGCGCTCATGCCCTTTTCGTACTCCAAATCAGCTGGCACGCTAGCACGAATAGCATTGAGACAATGTGATCAAAGTACAAGAAAGATTAGAGGAGGAGACACCAAGGGTAAATGATGCAAATGTCTCATAGCCTAGCACATTTCTGCCTTTTTCTTTTATTCAGAAAGACTGATGGAAAAAAAGTAAAAGTTGTTGACTGCACATTCATAGTGGTTTACACATAATAGGTGGTAAATATTTCCTATTATCTGTGTAAAAGATGATAAATATACCCAGTTTCTGATGAGCATAGGTATTCTAATGGAGACAGAGCTCTAAGGTTACAGCTCGTCTGTGTCTCTGAACATTTTCTGGTACAATACAGAATTATTCTCTGTCTTCAAAATCAGCCTCTCCGTTAGTGGAAAATGTAATTAAAAATCAGGTTATATGGGATGTAATGAACAGCATGGTGACTATAGTTATAATACTGTATTGTATCTGGAAGTTCCTAAGAGAGTAGATCTTAAAAATTCTTACCACAAGAAAAAAAATCTGTATGTGGTGATGGATGTTGGACTTATTGTGATCATTTTGCTATGTATATAAACCTCAAATCATTATGTTATACACTTGAAACTAATAAGTGATATGCCAGTTAATACCACAATTCAAAATTTTTTTTAAAAATCACACTATAGAGCAAAGAATCATGTTTATGATTCCCTGTAAATATAAAATCAAACTTGTCTGTGAAGACTGAAATAATCTGTAAACTTTTCATGGACATATATGAAATAATTTTTTATATTCACTAAAATTGCATATAAAACTTAAAACCAATATATATTCAATTCATCAAATATTTACAAGTGACCGTCTGTTTATTGTCAGGCACCATGGTGGGCATTAGAAATAGAAAGATAAATATATGACCTTGTTCCTGTACTTAAAGGACTTTCTGTTAAGCAAAAAACAGTCTCATGTACTTAGAATTATGTCGTCATGATACATTTTGCACATATAATACTGTGCAGACATGCTGTGGTGAGGGCCCAGATGGGAAAGCTGGAGAAACACATCAGGAAACAATAGTGAGCCATGGAAGGTTTTAGAGAGGGTATGATATGCTAGACGAATAATTTGGAGTGAAACTTAGCAGCTTTGCGATGAGATGTGCCAAGATCTCAACCCCAGGCAGAGGCCATGAGAATAGAACAGAAGGAGCCAATGTGAGAGAAGTTTCAGAAACTGAGCCTGTAGGTCTTGGACACAAGGTAGAGGAAGCGGTTGGTTGGCTTGAATGAAGTTGATGGACATGATATTATTAGACGAGGGGAGAAAACAGGGAGAATTTCAGAAAAAAATAAGTAAATTTTCTGTTGAGATATATTTTCATGGGGTGATTCTTGCATAGTTAAGAGATAGAGGTCTGGAGGAGTCATTAGCTGCATCCATTCTACTCAGGGCCTTGGGCATGAAATATATTACTCAAAGAACAAGGCAAGTTAAAGGAAAAGACTCTAAAACAGAAACTCTGGGTAACGTCCATTTTTGAGGGAGGGGTAGGCAGAAGAACACAGGCCGATGAACCAAAGCAGCCAGAGAAAGAAGAGAAGAGGAAAGAGCCATCACGAACGACAAGGAGACGAGATTCTGAGTACGTGGTAAACCAGCCTGGCCAAATGTTACAGAGAAGGCATGTGGGCTGAGAACTAAGAAAAGTGCATCAGACTCGACAGATCCCATTGTGACACTGAAGGGTTCGAGCGGGTTGTAGGAGCACCTTATGTGGTACGTTAGGTCGTGATGAAGTGGGGAGGGAAGTAGCGAAAGCTGCTCCTTCCTGACATTTGTCAAGGAGCGAGATAGAGTTGTGGTTCAGGCAGAAGCAGGCTCAAAGAAAGTTGGGCTTTCCCCCCTCTTTTTTGGCAGATATATATATATATATATATCCGTAGGTAGATATATAGATAGATAGATAGATAGATAGATAGATGGGCTTGAGAAGAATGAGAAAAAAATTTTGGTGGCACGAAAGCTTTGAAGAGGTCAAGACATGGGTACAAAGCACAGAGAGATAGATGAACATTCAGAACTTGCAGGAGCCTCTGTCATCTTTGGTCTAAGAAGGATAGCAGCAAGAAAATATTCCCAGCTTTTTGCAGCAGAGACCAAATTAATTGTTCTTTTTTTTTTCCCTTAAAATTTTATTTATTTGACAGAAAGAGATACAGCCAGAGAGAGAACACAAGCAGGGGTAGTGAGAGAGGGAGAAGCAGACTCCCCACTGAGCAGAGAGCCCAACACAGGGCTCTATCCCAGGACCCCAGGATCATGACCCGAGCTGGAGGCAGACGCGTAACGACTGAGCCACACAGGCACCCCAAGCTGATTGTTCTTTAAAACCCCTGCCTTTAGCATAGCGTGTGGTCCATATTAGATGCAGGATGAATAAACAGAGGACGGGTTAGTCGCAATCCATAATACCCTAGCTTGTCGACTGGCTGGGGCTCTTGGCCAGTAGTGACTGTTAACCACTACCACTACTTACAAACATCCAGAGTGAGCCCAAAATTGGGAACGGCAGTTGTAGTTGGAATAGCTTGTGAGGTATTTCCCATTCTCCCCCTCAGCCCCACCCGCCCCTAGTCCCACTCAAATAAGAAGTAGAAGGCAAGCATAGTTATCTCTCATATGCCATGCATAGGTGCCCCCCCCCGCCCCCGGTTCTTTGCTACATGAGTTACTTTTTTTCTATTGACTGTATCAGTAGTCTGGTTGTTTTATGTTCTTTTGGAAAGCTTTTACTGTTTAAAATGGTTGCCCTCTGGTGGCCTGATGCATACTGTCTTCAGAAAATAAAAAATCCCAAACATTTGCAATAATGATATTAAAATATATTACTCAGGAAGTCAGATATTTCACTTTGAGAAAGCAAATGGCTGATAGTCATCTGAGTTGTACATGCTGAGAGATACGAAACTGTGTTCTCCCAGTCTGTGATCGTACATATGCTATCAAAAGATGTTAGTGTTTAGCATGGTAATCCAGAGGGGAATGCAGAAATAGAATCCGCAATATCTGATACCAGGTCATCAAACACCTAGGAGGTATACCTATTCTCTGACCAGATCCTGAGAGAAAAAGTCGGCCTGAGAATGCTACAAACATTTTGCTCATTCCCGTACATTCCAGTTGAAGGCATGATGTCACAGAGACATCATGAAAATAAGGCTTAAAAATGAGATCAGGACAAATTGGTCTCTGGAAGGAATCCAGATATCCTCTTTCTTTTTTCATTGAGTTTTCATAAAATCCATACTTGTCCATAAAACATTTACTACACACAGTATGTGGTTGTCTATGTCTGCAGCATTTTAAAGAGAATAGATACAAGGTGTTTTTTTTTTTTTTAAATGAGTGAAGTTGTAGAGGGAGAATTCTGCCTATAGCCCTTGATTTTGTGAATAAATTTGGGGGGGCATGATTTTGCAAATTATTTGCTTTTATGTTATTTATAATTGCAAGCTTGACTTTACTCTTTGATGTCTTTTTAAATTTAGTTTGAACAATTTGAAAGCACCATTGGGTTTAAGCTGCCAAACCATCGAGCTGCCAAGCGTTTGTGGAAAGTGTGTGTTGAACACCATACATTTTTCAGGTGGGTAAAGATGACTTTTTTTTTTCCTCCCTAAAGAAGAATTAGTATGTCAAGCAGAGAAAGTCAATTATCATATGGTTTCACTTACCTGTGGAGCATAAGGAATAACACAGCGGACATTAGGAAAAGGAAAGGAAAAGTGAATTGGGGGAAATTGGAGGGGGAGATGAAGCATGAGAGACTATAGACTCCGAGAAAGAAACTTAGGGTTTGGGAGGGGAGGCCGCTGGGGGGATGGGTGAGCCTGGTGGTGGGTATTAAGGGGAGTACGTATTGCATGGAGCACTGGGTGTGGTGCATAAACAATGAATCTCAGAACACTGAAAAAAAATTAAGATGTTAATGGATTGACCAACTTTAATGGAAAAAAAAGAATCAGAATGATTGAAATCGCTTATATTGTAAAAATCTGTTAGGAAGGAGAATGTGGAAGCATGTCCTTTCTTTTCCTTCCAGTTCATGGTCACCAGATTTTTTTATAAGAAATCCTAAAAACTTCAGACTGAAGGATCTTCCTTAATTTGTCTTATGTTTCTATGCCTTAGGTCCACTTTCTTTATTACCTTTAGTGTCTTTTTCATTTTTATAAGATGTCCACTTCAAGGATTTAGCCCATTCCTTACTATTTCAGTCATTTCTCAAAACCCTGGACTCCTTAACTTGCTTACTCAAACTATGAGGTTTGTGTCTATAAAATAGCAAGTTATCGCTCTTCTGCTTCACTAAAGTCAGGTCGTTAACTGCTCTTCAGGTTTGTAGAACCATAGGCTCCCCAGTTGTGTAAGATGAACTCCAGTCCATGTAGTTCCCGACTGTACATACAACCCCCATCGTATGTATAGCCTCTCTGCAACTCCCTGTTTGATACATACTGTGGGAACTGATTTTTTCCCCTATAAAATCACATTCTTCAAACACGTGATGTGTTAAACCTTTAGCACACAAAGCACTTTACTGTTGACTAAAAAAGTGAAGATAGCTTTCTTTATGTTTGACTGATGGGTCTCTCTGGTATTTTTTCTTTAATATCTCTAGACTGTTGTTACCAGAAGCACCTCCAAAGAAGTTCCTGACCTTGGGCTCCAAGTTTCGTTATAGCGGCAGGACACAAGCCCAAACAAGGAGAGCCAGTGCGTTGATAGACCGACCTGCCCCTTACTTCGAACGCTCGTCCAGCAAACGCTATACTATGTCTCGCAGTTTGGATGGAGGTAGGCGTTACTTACGAGCCCTTTGTAATAAGAATCCCAAATGGCTACCCAGAAATAGTGTGAAACCATCACAAGATTTCAGTGAACACAGATCTTCTTGAACAGTATGAAATGGAAAGCACTTACCGTCCACGGCTGAGTGGCACGTTTTAACCCCCACTGTCACAAAAAAAGTGCCTTGGTGAGTCTAATGTCTGTTATTGATAGACTTCTATAAAATTCTGTAAATAATGGTACTAAGGGAATGAAGAGCATAGCTTCCGTAAGCTGGCACCCTGAATTTGGAGAAAGATGCTCCCATCCTAAATATAGTCACATACTCTGTAAGTAATTTGGTTCACTTGCTGGCAGTTCTGAAATGATTATCGAGTTTGTTTTAGTCTGTTTGTTTCAGAAGGACGACTGTGTCTGTTTCTACAAAATTTTTATGGATAAAATGTGACTGTTACCAGTCAGTGCATGATAGCTGATAGAAAGAATGACATTCAGATAATAATAGATCCCAAGGGTCCACGTTGAATCCTCCTGGTTAATAATAATTACTACCATGGATGGACTGGGAGAGCCTTGCCGTGTAAATGTTCTCCACTATTAAGTCAAATGTGTAAGTTCAGCAAGGGGAGAATCACTGAAATAACAGTTCTAAGGAATGACATCATTGTGAGTCCCGTGGATTTTCGTCGTATGTGACCGTTTCGTGTTGCTGTCTGTAGTTAACGCACAATGGCAGCTACAACACATAGCAGCTGTACTACTGCTACCACTACTACTACTACTACTTCAAAAATGAGCCATGGCCAAGTCTCTGTTTTCTCATTCCAAGCACCTAGAGATTAGTTGTTTTATAGAAGACCTATTCCGTGAATTTAAAAGGAATTAGACGTTTCTAGCATGTGTGTACAATTTGAATAATAAAAAACATAAAATTAAAATAACAAAAACAAAGGAAAAATAATGAAAAGTTACAAATATGTGGGATCACCTTCGTCCTTACCTTTTTGCCACCACGCCTCGTAGTCCCAGTTCTCTCTTCCTTTCACTGTACGCCACTGTGGCTCCTGGGGTGACATGCTCCCTGAATCTCCTATTTGAGAAGTTTGTATTTTTCTAATGAAATATTTCGAAACAGTCTGTAGAAGACGTCAAAATTGTATCATTAGAGCTGAATCATGTATGTTACTAGTGAACGTGAACACACGCTTCCCTGGTAGGTAAATCCGTACTGAAGTCTACCTGTGTAGCAGTTAGAGAATGGTTTAGACTCCCCAGGTCTCGGTTTTAGTCATCACCTATAAAATGGGAGCAAAGCCATTCACAAACGGTGAATGAGACAGGTGTGACAGCAATCTTGATAGATGTCATAATAATTATATTCATAATTATTCTTCCAGGCTTTGTGAGCTGGCCTAGGAATTTGATTACCATTCTGTATCTTCCAGTAGTTGCTTCTTTTTGAAATGTCTAACTTGGAGCCAAACTTTTGGGATAAAATTATTTATTAGGACCATTTCAGGTTGAAGATGCTGAAATACTTACTGTAACATTGAAGCTTTTCTTAGTGCTTCGTTCCATTTATTCTTCTTTCTGCTTTGGAGAATCGCTATAAACTGTGTGTCTATATGGCAGTGTTGGGGGAAACTTTCGTAAAATCACACTTTTTTTTTTCCTGGGACATCATCTACTTTGTTGAGTGATGTGTATCCAAGGGAACACATTTGTCATGAATGTCATTTTCCTCATGACCTTTTGTGTGATAATGATTGTTGACAAGACAGAAGACAATTGTGAAATAAATGTACTAATCCCATGCTGTCTCTTCCTCCCTGCCCAAAAGTGATGTTAGTATGTGTTGTCTCTCACTCTTTGGGGTCCTGCCAGTTCTAGTATGTTCTCTGTGCTGCTGAGCTAGGTGCTGTGGCTGCATGTTGGAACACAGTTGCTTTTTGCAAAGTTGCATCTGACACAGAACAGCCTTACTGGCCCCTTGGGGACTTGCTTCTCCTGGCAGTTTTTCATCAATATAAGGAAATACAAAATATCTTAGTGAAGCTATCTTCGTGAAACAGTTTAGCTAATATAAAAGGATTTTGAAATATTTTCTTACATTTACATTTTAAACTTCCTAAACTGTGAAGCTGATTCTCTTTTGCCCGCGATTAACCACTGTAATTTGAAAAGCATCATTTGTAAGTTTAAATCAGTTGTATATATCTAAAACCAAAAATAATGCTTACCCGGCTTTAAAAATGTAACCAAATTAAGCATCTTTCACTAAGACATTTTAGCTGGGATGGAAGGCTGTCTTATATCTTTTATGTTTGCATGCTTTACATTTGCATGAATTTCATTAGCACCATTTGTCTTATCGTCCCAAAATATCAGAGATGAATAAGTCTGTGCATATCATGGTAGTGTGTTGAAAGTGCAGTAGAAATTAAAACATTTCTGCACTTCAGCTGAAAGGAGTTGCCATCCAGACTGTACAGTCTTTCCAAAGAAAGATTGTAGGAGTGATGGACTCCTTAACCATTATTAATAACAGTAATTGAAAAACCCAATTCAGTGCTCCTTGGTGAATGGCACTTCCCAAAGACATGTTCAAAGTCAAGTGGATGGGAGCAGTTGTCCACTGCAAATTCCGCTGTTAGTTGTGGGACTGGCCCTAGTGCTTGGCGCTGGCATCCAGCCAGTTACTCTGTGGGGTGACAGGCCGGCAGAAGCCCAGCCTCCCACCCCTACACCACATCCGCCCTCACACTCCACCTCACCAGGGAGCCCCAGAGTTATTCCGGCGGCTTCCAGCGAGCAGCCTTTAAGTCATTTGAAAACACTGGTCAAGCAGCTTCTGAGAGACAAGTCTCTGCCTGTGCTTAGATGCAGGTACTTGCACCGCTGACTTGCCTTTTCCGACAGACGTGGGTAGGGGTCCTTTTTTCCATAACGGGACAACCGGTGGTGTTCTTCTGCCTCCTGCCTTAACTATTTCAGACGTTTTTCTTCCATTGTATTTGCTTTTAGCGTCAGTGAATGAAAACCATGAAATATACATGAAGGATTCTGTGTCTGCTGCAGAGGTTGGTACTGGCCAGTACGCCACAACAAAGGGCATCTCTCAGACCAACTTGATCACCACCGTGACTCCCGAGAAAAAGACCGAGGAGGAACGGGACGAGGAAGAGGACAGACGGAAAAAGGCGGAAGAAGTCACGCCGGTCGCAGCAGTACGGCAGGAGGGAAAGGTACATCTCCCAGGCTCCCTCCTAGCGCTTGCTTAGAAGAACTAATAATTCCGAGGATATAAACCAGGAAAGTGTTAAGACTTAGGGTAATTCGCTTAGACCTTGAACAACTAATAATTCGGAGGATAGAAACCAGAAATGTGTTAAAACTTAAGGTAATTCAGGGTGCCTGGGTGGCTCAGTCGGTTAAGCCGCTAACTTGATCTCAGCTCAGGTGTTGATCTCAGGATCATGAGTTCGGGCCCCACATTGGGCTCCACTCTGGGCGCAGAGCCTTCTTTAAAAAAACAAACAAAACAAAACAAAAAATAACTTAGGGTAGTTCATATTTCAGCATTAGTCACATTCATATTATCAATCTTTAAATTCTGATTTCCTCTTGTCGCCATTTTTCTTCTGAAAAATTCTTTCTTAACTTGAAAATTTTTATTTTAACTGATGTGCTATGTAAGACTTTCAACAGCTGTCCTGTCTGTATATCTTAAAAATGCATTTAGTGCCATATGACACTTTTCTGTTTGGGCTCACATTTCAGAACTATCACTAAAACTGTTTTCTTTGTTTCTGGCCCCATTCTCCTCCCCAAGTACTGTATATTTTTCTAGATATACAGTAATCACGTTGCCATTCTTCTGACTGCAAGACTGAGTGACCATAGCCTGTGTATTTATACACTATTTCCTCTCTTAGTCTAGGATTATAATCTAATTATCAAAGTAGCAAGCAGACATGTTTTGAAGAGAGATATTAAAGCAGAACATCACAAGGGAAGATGGAAAGTGAGTTTGGCAACAATTTCTCCAAGGTGTTTTCTTCATCAAACTTATAAGCTTCATTTCATCCCAGTATTTATTTATTTTTACAGTATGTTTATTTTTGTAATCTGGCACTATAAAGCAACTTTTCAGAAAAATGGAAGTCAGAAAAGGCATAGACAGCTTACTTCTGGTACAGGGTTTTATAAGTAGCACAGCAGCTCCCTAAAAGTTTAAAAAAAAAAAAACTATATTGAGAGGTTAATGTGTGATGATAATGGAAAAAACAGAGTGGCTCCTGGAATGTACAGAGTAAAAAGAAATACCAGAATAAAAATGCTATAAAACTCCTGGTTATGCTAAAACTTGCCTAGATTTGACTCAGTGTGTTCTTTTCCTATATCAATATTATTTCTTAAATATAGATTTATGTGACAAAGACTTACCTGAGACTCAAAATAAAAATGCTCCTTTTTGATAAGAGCTATGCAGTGAAGGGTAGCTCCACAACACAGTGTAGTTACGTCCGAATATGCCACATAAAACGCTACCCACCGTGTTGTGAGAAGATCATTTATTTGCCAAACACAAGAACAGGGTAGGACATGCCAGCAAGGATATTTGAATCATTTTTGCTGGGAAAACATGACTTCGTTCCAAATTTTGTTTTTACACTCTTATTTTCCAGTTAAGTCAAGGCAGCTTTTAAATAGGAAATAAGGAAAAGTGTTGTCTGCCTGAAAAGCAAATGATTTCCACACTTCCCCTGAAATCACCCATGCCAACCGACAATTCTCATGGATGCGTAACTGTGATTAAAGTGGCACATTAAAGGAAGTGACTTTTAGTTGGCTCAAAAAATAGACCTACGAAGTCTATTTAATTTGAAAAGCCCCCCACTTATATAAAATAAGCACTAAACCACCATCACTTTGGCCACTTACGGCATGGGAAAATAAAAAGACAAAAAACCCTGACTCTCATTGTCTGAATCTCTGAGAAGCCAGCTCTTTGACCCAGATGCCTACAGAAGGGCTTTGGTCCAGCCCTGGCCCAGGTAGGGTGGATGGCTGGCTTAGTTTTACACGGTCCACAGCTATCTTTTAAAAACCACTTGAATAAGCAGCATGGAAAATTAAGCCTTCATTTTATTCTTCTCCATCTTCAAAAAGTAACAAAGAGGGTACTCATTTTTTTAACCAAAATGAAAGTGTATCATTGAAAATAGGTCTTAAAAGGCTGGTCCCCTAGATTCTTCTGAGAGGAGGCCTGTTTCCAGGTTAATGATCACCCCAGGTGACTGTGCAGCCAGCCACCACCAGGGGAACAATAGCGTGCACGCAGGAGTCAGCTTGTAACTTTTATATTCTTCTCCGTTGAATGAGATGTGTGCAGGGTCACATTTAAAACACAATGCTTAATGTTTAATGCGAGGATTGAGAAGAGACATACCTGCTTAAGACCTAAAAAGAGACACTCCTAAATTCTAGCATACCCACAATACTGTTTCCTCTGTGCATGTTCTAACCCTCTGTCTTTATATTTACCAAGTCAGGATTGAGAGCTACAAAGCAGGGTGGGGGTAATTTCCACGCTAGCAAGTCTCTAGGCAAACCACACATGTACGTGCTCACGCACACACACACTTACATCACGCATGCAGCGGGTCCCAGAGAGCAGCAGAAGTCTATCTTCAGACTCTGTGTGACCTTGAATTGAACTCCTGGGGCTGCAGCGGCTTCCAAGCTATGGCAGGTCCTGTTTGGAGCTTGCTGGCTTCCCTTCTTCCCCTCGTGCTCAGCAGCCCCCACCACCTGCAAAGGAAACTGGCTGTGGTCAGAGAGGCTGCCAGGGCCAGAGTATGGAAAGAACCTCTCTTTCCCTCCAGAAGCCTGAGCTCACCAGGAGCACTTTTGTGGCAATGGCTGTCTTCATCGTTCTGTGATGGCTTCAAACCAGGAGAGTTAAATATGGTGATTACTTGCTCAGAAAAACCAGAACACTGGGAAATTGTACCTATTATTTATGGACCACAAATAATACAAACTAAATGCTTACAAGCCATATCACAAGAAAGCACATTCTTTTTGCTAGTTAGCTTGTTGAAACCCTTGAGTTTAAGTTACGTTTACATCATGGAGAAAGGAGCCAAAGTACACATTTTCAAAGGAACCTCAATTCTTCGGGGAGCCGAGTTCCTAAAATGCTAGTTGTGGACTTCCCTGAGTGGCACAGCTTATCAGATGGGAGTGGGGCCAGAAACTTCTTGATTCGGAAACCCACCTGTTTTGGATATGATTGACTAAGCAAGGAAAAGGTAACGCTAAACTTTTTTTTAATAATCAAAATTTGGATCCATTTTTATTTATTTTTTAATCCAACCAAACTCGAGTAACAGATCTGTTAGCTGGAGATCAGGAGATGTTATTGAAAGTCTTGATTTCAAGTTCTCAGAGGGTTCTATTTGCTCTCAAAATCCTACAACTTTCTGGAGTTGTTGGTCTAAAGAAACTTGTTAGATGCTGTGAAACATGTAGATTTTGAGATTGCCCACTGCGATCTTCTGTTCTGACTTTATAAAAAAAAAGCCCACCCTGTATCTGACAGTCTAATGGGAAAATGGCAGCTGTTCGTGGCAGCCTTGGCATGCAGCTTGAATACTTTAAGTATGAACAACCCTAGAGCTAAAATTCTTGTTTTACAATTTTATATTGATACCCATAAGAAAATTAACTAATTGCAGTTTTCTTTTTGTCCTTTTGCACCTCTGTTTGCTGCTTTCTGTCTCTCTCTGTCTCTTTCACATCAGTCACCTGGGCTTGGCACTGACTCATGTCCCCTGTCCCCCCCATCAGCCCATCGTTCCCCCGCATCCCCCCCAGAGCTCCGTAGGAGGTGTAAGGAGAATGACTGCCAAGCCCCGGACTTGGAGGCTGCCAGAGGCACTGTGCGTGTGCTCGGAGAGCCCACCATGGACTCTGACCCCAAAGGGAAGCCATCCTTAGGGGACCAAGATGTGGCTTTTAGCTACAAACAGCAAACTGGCAAAGGGACCACCCTGTTTTCCTTCTCCTTGCAGCTCCCGGAGTCATTCCCATCTCTTCTCGATGACGATGGGTACCTCTCTTTCCCCAACCTGTCAGAAACCAACCTCCTCCCCCAGAGCCTGCAGCATTACCTCCCGATCCGCTCGCCCTCCCTTGTGCCCTGTTTCCTCTTCATCTTTTTCTTTCTGCTCTCCGCCTCCTTCTCAGTGCCATATGCCCTCACTCTCTCCTTCCCTCTGGCTATGTGCCTCTGCTACCTGGAGCCCAAGGCGGCCTCCTTGAGTGCCTCACTAGACAATGACCCGAGTGACAGTTCAGAGGAAGAGGTGTGTACCTCGGCATAGAACACACTTCCCTGTCGTGGTCGGGGCTTTGGTCCGAAACAACGTTAGGCGCCTACTGCCATAGTGGTCCTACTTTCAGAGCCTCATTTATTGTCTGTGCCGACATGTGAGAGGTTTCTGTGTGTTGGGGAGTCTTTCCCCCCACCCCGGCCCCCGGGTTAGGCACAACACCATGTGGACAGAGCAGGCTGCATCCAGCCCGCTGAATTCTACGTGTGATGAAGGACTTGGAAGTCAGCTTTAAAGAACCCGTTAGCTGCGTTAAAAATCAGGGTTAGGTTAAAGGTCTGGTCAGTCACTAGTTCCTAAAGGAAAGGGACGTAGAAGACCAAGAAAAAAGTTTGACCCAGACTGATGGAGTGTTCCCAAAATGTATCCTGGCATCATGGTACGTCCGTAGCGCTGATACCAGTGGATAAACGACCCTCACAGCAAGGTGGGAATGACCAGCCAAAGGAGGTGGGTCTCCATCATGTGGGTAGCTTCCCCCAACTCTCGATGCCTCTCCTCCCTGGAGATCGTGAAACTTCCCCACACTGTCTCTGTTACTCGTGGAGATGAGCCAGATCCCAAGGGTATGTTAGGTCAGAAAAAATGCTTGAGTAGATGAACAGGCCCATGTGACTGCAGTCATTGGAAGGGCCACAGAGAGGACCAGAAATAACAGCAATCTTCAAACACAGCCGGGAATAGGCTCCCGGAAGATGTCTGCTTGCTGTAAAAATGGGCTGGAAGTTCATCAGTCCTGACAGGGCTAATGCGTATGTCGGATGGCAGTGATCCTTTCAACTCTAGCACGAGCCAAAAAATCCACACACTCACAGACAGTCTGGAAAGGTCAGGAGAGCTGGCTAGGTCCCTGCGGCTCTCAGCCAGGCATGTTGCTCAGTGGGGAGAGGATGGGGCCGTCAGCCTCTTTTTGAGAAGACGTGCCACCTGTCCGTCTCCCGCCCTCATCTGAGCCAGTGGGTGAGTTGACATGGTCGTTGGTAGCTTTTCCTCTTAACTGGTCTCCTTTCACACCAGTCCCCTGATGTGTGAACAGCCCAGCAGTTCCCTTCAGACAGAGCGCAGGGGAAAAGAACAGAAGCAGCCAACAGAGGGCCTGGCTGTCGCCTACCCTCCTGCCCACAACCTCCCCAGGCCCTTCCAGCTCCTCTGTTCTCACAAAACAAGGCTTTTTGTGGCAGGAGACAAGCCCAGTACTTCCAGCATTGAAAAAAAAAAAAGTGACAAAGTCAAAGCAACAAAAAAAAAAAAAAAAAGAAAAGTCTATTCATTTTTCAACTCAGCCAGGAATCATAATTTGAGCTGCACCTGTGGGTGTATAGAATTGTGAGGGTGTGTAAGTATCTATATTTAGTGAGATTATGACCATTTCTTAGCAGCAGAAGGAAGAAAAATGGGAATGGTCTCGCAGATACTTCAAATAAAAGTTGGCCCTTTTCAATTTGATACTGCATTAAAGCCCTTTTCAAGGTTCTTGGGTCGTATGACTTCGCTCCAAAGTCTGTGTGATTTTATATATTTACTATAAAACTATTTTCATACATGAAAAATATTTTAAGAGCATGAATCCTAGGCTTTAATATCGCCATTTCTCACAAGAGCAAGGTGATCAAATAACGTGGGACTAGAACGTATAACCTGAAGAACACAAGATTATCTACAAAGACCGTAGTATTAGCTGGTTTCCAACCTGGATGTCTAGTTTTCCTTTAGCAGTGGAGTTAGTTATCTAGCCAACGTAAAGCAAAAAGATTGCCATTTGCTGCTTTTCTGAATTCTAAATAACTGAACTTTTCTGTAGCAAACCACACAGATCTTGTGCCTAATCCAGGGTATACATCTTGTTGTAATCAGTGCATGAAAATTAATGTTAAATTGGGGCATGTCTGCATTACATCAGCAAAACAAATCACAGCAGTTACCCGATGCAAGCCAGTGACCGCGTGACTGGAGCTTCCCAGCCGCTAACTCTCCCTGTTACTGCAAAGCTCTGAGACCCTGAGCCAGCTCTGGCCGCCGCGGTCTTACCCCTCCTCTGCATCCCTGGTCACCCGTGACAGCTCTCCTAACACGAGACCTTGCGTGTGGCCATCTGTTCAGTGTCGTCTCTTAACCTCAAGTGTTAAAAGCTATGCTCTCTAGTTCAGGCTGAGCTGGAGGACTCCTAAGTAGGTCATTCCATTAAAAAAAAAAAAAATTTGTTGACATGGCCTTTTTTATTCTCTAGGCTTCAAGCACTTTGGCAGCTAAATGGGGTGACTTCATGTAACATACGGTTTAGCTCTGTCACGTTCATTTTGTAAGAATCACTAAATCACTGATGAATGTAATTCTTTTCAAATATTTTATCATCACTACTTATATTTCTCATGTATTGGAGTGACTTAATTAGTTCCAACCTTTCTCAAGAGGGAAACCCAGTGTGGAAAGGCAGAATCATTTCAAACTTAGAAAGCTGCTGACCAATAGTATTTTTTTTCTTTTGTACTTTCAAGAATGGTCACATAACAAGGGGCACAGAATATTAAATCATCTGTCAAGAAACATAAGCTGAATTTAGCTTACCATACCACAGAATCACCATTAGTCTTTATGTGTCAATTTGTGAGGAATATTTTCATCAAACAAAAAAGATTCAAATTTGGAGGCAAAAATTAATAATCAACTGATTTTTGACATTTTAATTTGTGTAGACACAGAATCATATGACAGTTCGTGACCCGTTATACATTTCGTAGCTTTGTTCAGTCGTAGTATATTATATAAATAATATATAAAAAGCTACTTTTGCTATAAAAGCTACTTTATTCAGCCTTTCTCCATTAACTATTTATTGATCATGCACTATATTTGTTGAATAACCGACTACATGCTCAGGAAGAATTTAAGGGAGTTGAGATACGGTCTAGGCTATTTTTTCACATAGCTAGAAAAAATGGTAGTAATAATTATAATTATATAATTACATAATATTACAATATAATAATATCAACATACGACAGTTATTATAGGCACTTTTGGGTCTGCATGTGTCAGGCCTTGTAGAAAGCACTTAATATCCATTACCTGATACAGTTAGGGCTGTTATTTTTTTTCTCCATTTTGCTGGGAGGAAATGGGGATTAAAACATGAAACATGTCCAGGGTGTCACAGATTTCAATAGCAAGGATTTGAGCTCATGTCAGCCTGACATCAGAGTCTTCACTCTTAACCAGGGCTGTAATCTAAAGCCAAGATGCTCCAGTAGATTTTCAAGCCACAAGGGAGATTATTATGTAAGAAGAGAAATACTTTCAAGCAGCTTGGAAGGGTTGCACAAAACCAGTTAGCACATCAAGTGCCAGTCATTCCTATTTATTCTTGAAAGCCTAAGGCTTCTTTGGGTTGTTATACACTTGAACAATAACCTGTCTCTCTCCCCCTATGTCACATTGGCCATTCCCTAGGCTGTCAGTTGGGGAAGCCATGCTACCACCATAGCAATGATCACCCTCATAAGAAAATTACTCTCCGCCCCCCACCAGGTGTTGTGAAGGTAGTCATCAGGTCATGAAAGTGTGTCCGCACACATTCTTTACCAAACTCCTGAAAATTATGTTCTGCTTAGGCATGATAGCTGACCCCCTCAGGTGCACATGCCAAACATGAATTTCAATGTATTTTCTTTTAGGAACATATAAAATGGAAATTTGGGATAGCGCCAAGAAATCCGCTCAACCAGAGTTAAGTTGATATGACCATCCCTGTCCCAGGCTTCCTTCTTGAAATTCCTTGTTGTTAGGATTGAAAGATTATCTGAAGAGGCAGGTTCACAAGCTTACAGCTCCCAGTTTTTGTTTTCAAAATATTCACTGCGTATCTTTGCTCAAGGGAATTTTATTAGTGATTAGTTGACATTTATGGAGGGAAAGTCAGTTTATAATATATTACAGCATTTAAATGTCCCATCTGTGATGGCTGTGGTTCTGTTGTACTCCAAAGAAAATAAGTTTCTGTTTTAAACCACAAATCTCTATGAAACAGCTTAAAAACCCAGTCCTGAAATGACTGTTATAATTCCCCCTTAAAAACTTAGGCTCTGTCAAATGCTGTGCTTTGTTTTATTTGTTTACAAGTAGATGTCTCTCTCTCTCTCTCTCTCTCTCTCCCTCTCTCCATTTTTTTATTAGTATTATAATTTGCTTCATTTGGATGGTTGTTTTGGAAAGAGATGTTTAAGTACCTACTTTTATATACTTCTTTCTATTGGAGGGTGGGGCAAAATAAACACAACAGTTAGTCTGTAAGAAATCTAGTTAACACTGCTACTTGGAAACTGAGTTATACTTTTCACATATAAAACATATGCCTGTGAGTCACTGGCATGTGCTTTTTATAAGTAATAGGTAATGCAGACAGCCTGATGGTCATAAATGGGTGTAAATTATCAACATGTTACAAATGAGGGGCTGAAAGTCCAGTGAGTGTTATAGTAGCTTTTAATTTAAATTGACATTTTAATTTACCTTTCAAATGTGACATATTAGTAGAATCACAAACATATATAAACATTGATTTTATTTGCATTATAGGTTTTTAAGAGATCTTTCTCGGGGTTTTAGTTAAAAGTGGAGGAAAGAATGGCAATTTGGTTTTCCTGAGACATGAAACCAGACGAGTCAGCTTGGCTAACACAGTTCCTGTGGTTCCCTCAGGCTGTGAGCCGCTGGTCTTCCTCCCAGGGGCTCTGCTGATGAAACCCAGCTCCGGTCTTTCTTTTGCTCTTGCTTGAAACCTGCATTCTTGTGGGAAGGTAGTTTGATACACATCACAGAGAAAGAGAGTGAACTGTTTGACCTGTGCCATGCCCTATTTGACCAAATGGGTTTGTTTTCTCTTCCTGCCTTCCTCCTGGACCCTGGTCACTTTTGTGATCAATAGACCGACAGTGAGCGCACGGACACCGCGGCCGATGGGGAGACCACCGCCACTGAGGTTGGTACCATCACTGTGGGCGGCTGGTGGCTGCCCAGCGCAAGTGCCTCATGAACGGGGCTCTGCATTTAGGGCCTTTGCATACTAGGTGTTACGGAGTGGAGAGAAATTCTAACTTTGAAAGGAGGAAGGAAATGTATTCTGTTGCCTGGGTCTGTGGTTCTCAAGCTCTGGGCTACATCAGAATCCTCCAGCTGGGTCCCATCATGTTTCTTGTGCAAAAGAAGAAGGTCTGGGGTGGGATTTTTGGAATTTGCATTTCCAGCAGTTTCTCAGGGCTGTTGACTCGGCCTGTTTTCAGATCACATTTTGAGAACCTTTGGCTAAACCGATAATACCTTAAAAAAAAAAAAAAAAAAAAAAAAAAAAAACACTTATTCCCCTTTCCCAAGTGAGAGGCTGTCTGTGTGTGAAAGCCGTGATGAGTGAGGAGGAGGGTTACAATTAATTTAATTAGCTTATTTACTAGATACAGATATATTTTTAAATCCAAAATGGCCAAATAATTATTAAAATAGCAATAATACTTCTCTTATTTTTGTAGACGAGGTGATATAACCTAGGTCACTCAAAAGAAATGGATTCTCTAAGGAAGAAGAAATTAGAAAATTACTGTTAGTACTTTATTCAAAAAAAAAAAGTGATCACATTGAACAGTGACAGGAAACAGACTGTGCTATCCTTTATCCTTTATGAATTCTTTAGGATAAATAAACGTGTGCGTGCTTATGTTGTTTTTCAAATCTTCTCCACCCATAACTAAAATTTCTGTAAAAACAGTATAGTAATAGAAGCCAAGATGTACCTTTCCTGAAGTTCTCACAGAACTTATCTTCTACTTTGTGGAGTTTTTTTACATCATCCGGTTTGAACAGTCTTTTCTAGTAGGACCTTCAGGAAAAACTAAAAATGTAAATAGTATCTGTATAGTACTTAATTGAAAATATCCTCAAAATACTTCTTAAAATGGAGTTTTCATCCTTGGGAAATGCCAGAGTTCAACTCAAAGCTTTGGAAATCATAATTTTTTTAAGTTAAAAATCACAGCACTGGCATTGAAAAATAATAGTAATAATAATAATAATAATAATATTGTAGGGGCTGTTATTGTACTGGCTGGCTCAGTCAGTAAAGCATGCCACTCTGACATTTGATCTTGGGGTCACGAGTTCAAACCCTGCATTGGGCATAGAGCCTACTTAAAAAGAAATTAAAAAAAAAATAATATTGTAAAACAATAACTATCCAGATTCTTTTAAGCAGTCACAAATAAATGTATTACAAATTAATAATTTCCATGTCAAATTATAACAAAATTATATCTTGATTTGCTAAGAATTATTTGTTACATGTAGCTATATGTTAATTCAGTAAACTTCATCAGAATCTGAATGTGTGCCATAAATGAAAAATATTTCAGTAAGACTCCAAATTTCTGTAGCAGTTCTAAATGTTGTTCCATAACATTTGAAATGTGCGAACATATACATACAACATAGGTAACTATATGGAGCTTAAAAATAAAACACAGAGCTGTGTGCGCACCACACACTTGAGAATAAGTGTGTTGCCAGCCCTGTGTTAGGGTTACCTGTGCCCTCCTGCACTTTTTAAACTCTTGGGGGACAGGACAGCAGTAATGCGGGTGAGGCTGCTGGGTGGGCAATCTTGACAGATAAGGGGGCCTAGAGCAAGATAGACTGATTTGTTGCAGGCCACCTGTGCAGGTGTATCCTCAAGGCTTCTCACCTGTAATTACCCTGAGGGCCTCCCTATGGACCTCGTTCAGAGTACCACTGGCGAGACACCCAGCTTTACCACTGCCTACATATGTGGGTTGGCCTAATTACCTCGTTCCTGGTACCCGGACACCAGTCCAAGGACTAAACAGATCCTTGCAATTAGAAAAATCAAGATAATGAAGTGGCTTTTAGATAAATCTGTTGTATTTTTCAAGACTCAACAATGATCCTGTCTACATCTTTAAAGCAATGTTGGTAATGTTGAAGGTAGTTGATTCCTTTTTTTTTTCTTTAACTTTCTTAACTTATATCAGCTTCCTTCCTTCCCAGATTTATTTATTTTTAAGCATATGGGTTCAAGAAATTCACAGTTCCAAGAAAATCTTAAATGTGGGAACTTCAGTGTTAAATTCTTTGAGCCTTGGTTCTCTGGCCTACAATTTAGCTATAATAATAATAGCTATAACTTCCTAGGATTGTAAAGAATCATACATCCCAAGGGAGCTGTCATTATTGGGTCATCGTAACCATGCTTGTGAATTTTAGTTTTAGGGTGGCTCGAAACATTTGTAGTGTGCATTAAGGACAGCCCCCAAACCCTAGCTGTCAACTCCCACTTACGTGTGTATTCTTATCACACTCAGAAGTCTCCGGGTGACACTGTCAAAGACCCACCAAGCAAGGAATCTTTTACTCCTGTCATCTTAATAAGCATCATAATTTGTGTGTGAGAATGTTGTGGCTTGCATATAGGAAAGAACTAGCATCCATATACAAGAGCAAACTCGTACCCCCTCTAGCAGGTTTCTATAAGCCATAGTTCTTCAATCGTAGTCAATTACATGGTAAGACATTATTTCCCACTCTTTCCTGATGCTGGCAGTCGGACCAGGAGGAAGACGCAGAGCTCAAGGCACAGGTAGAAAATTAAAAATAAAACCAAAGCAAAAATCAGTGTGTGATAAGTCACTGTGCGTCTCCGGTGTTCCAGCCTTCCAGCATGCTCCGTAGGCGGTTACCCGTGTTGTCGGTGCACTGTGGAGGATGGCATTTGTTCCCGTGACTACTGTGTCCCTTACCTTTCCCTTTCTTCTCCACTTTTTTCAGAATAGTCTGATTAAGCGAATAAAGGGTGAAAATGTGTATGTCAAACATAGTAATCTTATGTTAGAGGTTGGTATTGGTATATACCAGTGCATGTTTGTGTGTGTGGACATTTCTTCAGTGGCATACTTGTGGGCTCATACAATGATGCATGACCTGTGTGCTCTCACCTGGGAATAAGTGGGGATACCTTCTCAGCCTACTCTGATTCCTTCCTTTCTCCTAGCTTTAGATCCTTTTTCCTGTGTGTGTTTATTTTCATTTTTTTTTTTTTCTGGTTACGTGTGAATTACACTCTTTTCTAGTTTGCCTTTAAAAAAAACTTTTGATTTTTATGCTTGCGTGAACTAGATTTTTTTTTTCTTCTCTTAGAAATGTCACATTTTCACCAAAGTGCTTGTGGTAGTGTCATGAGCCCTGATCAGAATTCTTTTATTTTGACTAAAGATTGACATTACTTTAAAAAACAAAAAACCTCAGGAAGACGTGTAAAACGTTGACTGTTGGATTCTTTATGTTCTGAATGTAGGAGCTAGATAAAACTCAAGATGACCTGATGAAACATCAAACCAATATTAGTGAGCTGAAAAGAACCTTTTTAGAAACCTCCACAGACACTGCCATCACGAATGAATGGGAAAAGAGGCTTTCTACCTCCCCCGTGCGACTAGCCGCCAGGCAGGAGGATGCGCCCATGATCGAGCCGCTGGTCCCTGAAGAGGTCGGTATTCGGGCTTTGGGGTGTCACTGTCTTCGGGTCACTAGAGGTGCTTCTCTGCAGGGCCCACCCCTAGGGGGCGGAGTCAGCGTAGACAGTCCTACCACTTGTCTGCGTATAAACAGAACAGACATACTCACGGCCCCAGAGAAAAGCTGTGGAGTAGAATGATGTGGCGGCTGAGGAGTGAGGAGTCACATCTCAGGGTGCTTGGAGTGAACAAGGAGGCGCAGGGAAGCTCTAGTGCATGCGAATGGGTTTTTTCTAATGGCGAACCTAGATTTCACAGCTGGGAGAAATTGAGATACTGTCTTAATGAACTGACACTTTTTCTCAAAAATGCTTTCTCTGCTACATTAAGAAATGCCCTGAAAACTCATGAGTGTTTCACATCAGTTGCAAGATTAGGTGTAGGGAGATGGTCTAATGTTTGACTCAACACCGATCTGAAGTTGACAGAATTTCGGGACCTGTTTTACTCTGGGACTGCTACACCAGGCTTTTACTGGTATAATCCGTGTGTGATTTGACTATAACTGATTTTTTAAAAATATATATAACGTTATTTTAACAGGTTTATAATCCATTTTTATTTGATTTTTTTTTTTTAAATAGAGAAAGTAGAGGGGCCAGAATGTCTTTCTTAAATACGAGTGTCTGTGTTGGAAAATTCTGTTTAAAGAATTTAGACTGTGAATTACAGTTACAGACTGTGAGGATTCAGCAGATCCTGTCTGGGGGCTCCTACTGAGGGCCCCACAAGGGTCCGTGGTGCTCGTCTATCCGCTATTAGACATCATCTTGCTTTTTCTTTCAAAAGAATTAGTTTTTTAATAACGGCATCTTTCTAGCATCATACTGATTAACATTTTTTCTTATCAAATCTCCTTTATCACAGCGTATTTTCCAGAAAGCTGAGCTAGAACAGAAGAAAATCAAAACTTGGGCCTTTATGGGAGAAAAATCCTTTAAGCTGTAGTCTACATGCAATGTTTCAGTCCTTGCAGGGAAAAGAATATAATGACACTCATTTTGATCATTTTCTAAACTTCCCTTGAAAGCTACTTATCAAAAGTGACCACAGTCACTATGTTCATGATAATTCTAATCCCAGCTAAAATGTGACAAGGTATATATCCATTTAAATTACTTTGAAAGGGGCCCTTTTATGCAGAATAGATGAAAAATAGTGTTACCGAAGTATTCTTGTGGCATTACACACCGTTTCATTCAGATTACCTTAGTAATATATAGTGAGCTAGGAGTAGTGATTATATTCTAAGAAGATCATGTGCATTTACTATTAAAATGGGAATTTTATTTATCCAACTTTCAAATACTGATAAGTATCTATACTTATATACTTAATAGCAGATAAGTAGCAAGGATGCCCCAAAGCATCGCTCACTTGACTTTGGAACATAGACAAACCCATATACAGGACCCACCAAACAGGAAGGATAGATGTCTGGTCCGTGAAGGCCTCTGGGTATGTTTCTGTCCACAGATATTTCCCATGACAGTCTTTGATGATGCCCCTAGGCTGAGTCTATGTTAGAGGTATATGCCCTCGTGGCCACTTGAATACTGAAAGTTTCCAAATTCCGACCAAAATGCAATACCCATTAGCACTTTCACAGTTGCAATATCAGCCTTTTTGTTGACGCAGGTAGCAGTCTTATAGCACGGAAGCTTAGCACGGCTGAGCCTCCCAATTCACGGATTATGTAGCTGTACATTCACCTACTTGCTGAAATTCACCATAACCCTAAAATCAGCCTTAAGGACTCTTCCCAGTCATCTGCAGACGGACACAGAGTGGTGAAAACTTGGTGTCTCAACCATGCACGTTCCCAGCTCTGGTTGCCCAAGGCAGGGCTCTGCCTACCTGTTTCAGTTCTCATACTGTACACAAATGGGCTTTTGAGGCCTGTTTGGTGCCACGTTTTTGTGTCTCCATGGGTGATTTTGCTGTTTCAGATGACACCCAGACGTACGGGCCAGAAGTGCGAGCTAGTGTTCCTAAAAGCACAAGAAGGCCGTCCTGTGCCTTTAGGGAAAATACATGTGTTAGAGAAATCTCATGCAGGAATAAGGTAGAGTGCTGTGGCCGTGACTTCAGTGTTAATGGATCAATAATATGCATTAAATAAGGAGTCTTTAAACAAAAACATACAAAACGAGGTTATATATTGAACCATTGATGACAATATCATGACCAGAGGCTCACAAGAGCCCTCACCATGTGTTTCCCATAAAATCAGTGGTTCAGTCTCCTCTAACTCACTGTTCATGGGGATTTTATGGAACATAAGGACCACGAATGACTGGAGTCAGCTCTGCTTGTGCATTTGTCTGCTTTCTAATCCAGCTCTGCTCTTGCGAGTCAGGTTTTGCATGGGCCTCGAATTGGGAAACAATCAAACAAACCAAAACCATTCACCACGGTCTTCTGGTTATGGAGATGGAGACTTATCTTTCATTCTCTGAATCTGACTTCTGTGACTTTCCATCCGGGCCTTGGGGTGCAACTACAGGTGCATATGCAAATGACCCATGGGGAGTTTTAAAAATATTGAGGCCTGGGGTCTGTTAAATCAGAGACAGATTTCCTTCGTCTGAGCTGCACTCCCACATAGTACCATTACTTAAAAGCTCTCCAGGTAATTCTAACGCACCTCCCGGTTGAGAATGCCTGGCGCAGAGAGAAGCAAGGGTCAAGGCTCTGCACAAATCCCTAATCCTCTGGGAGGGAGTCTTACCTCTGTACAATCTGCATGCCTGTATAAGGGCCTTGCTTCCCAATTATGATACTCTGATGAGTGTTGAACTAAAATGTGTGGAGCATATAGCTAACTCTCTTCTAACCCGTGATAAAAGTAAACATTTCAGTTATCAGCCTTTCTTTATCAGCATCTCCTCACTTGATCTGAACAAACTGAATTGAGGTTGACCATCTATGGGATTTTAAGATCTATCCCTTATGTTACCCTTTTCTCTCGGCGGGCATACACAGTTCGGATGCAGACAGTGTTGATACTTCCATTATAGACGAACAATTTTGAAATTAGTTGATGTCAGATAACAGGATGTGCTAAAAACCACTGTTTTCCTGCTATTTTTATTATTATTATTATTATTATTATTATTATTATTATTATTTTAGGCTTTCATCTTAGGGATAATATTTAGCTCAGTGATTATAATTAGAGGCCTGGCAGTGGTATTCTGAAAAGTACCTATAATCTTGACCTTTCCTTCCTGTTTCGTATTTCTCTGTGAGAAAGAGGCTACAACTGAAAGTAAAACAAAACAAGACAAAAATCCATATTTAATGATTTCACGTGGCGCATTTTGTCCTTTTCCAATACCTTTCTCCAAAAGGTATTTCCCTCTCAGAAATATCTTACTTTCTTTTCATCAAAAAAGGGGCATAGGAGAACAATGCTATCAAAATTTGCCAGTGGGTTCTTCAGAAGAATATTCCAGATGTCCCCTTACAAATGTCTATAAGCAGACTATTAAAAGGAATACAAAAGTTTATACACACATAGGAATAGTAAATGACTCATTAAATTGTATTGTTTACAATAAGATTTATTTTAAAAGCTCTGTCCTCCTGGAAACTTTGGGCTTTCTGTTAGGATTTTTTAGATGACTCGTCCTAAATACCCTTTCATTCAGTACTCCATGGAGCCTGATGCTATGCACAGAGATCGACTCAGCAGCTAGTATATTGCCACTTGAATCATTCCTACTTACTACTAAAGGAAGTAATAAAAAGTAGATAAAAGGGAGAAGCTAGTTGCTAACACAGCGTATTTACTTTTCAACGTTTCTTAATGTTCCGTGTGAAAGCATGACTTGGAGTACTTAATTTTTCACGAAGATAGTTTGAAGTTGACTTTTTAAAGTTACTCGCCATCTTATAAAAGTTCAAATGAAGCTATAAATTCTGAGTATACTTTGTGGAATAAGAAAGGAATAGATCGAGGTCTGACTGGGTTTACTCAAGCTAGTAGCTGAGGGCAGTGGTCCGTGTGCATCTCCTTGCCCGGGATGAAGCCTGCACTTCGGTGTGGAACGCAGCCAAGTGTCTGTCAGATGTAGGAGTGAAGGGTTTTTATCTCACTTAATTTTTTTTTTTTAAATCTTCACATTTTCTTCTACTCCTCACGTCTACGGCTTTGCACATGACTGGCCTGGACACTGTGAATGCCAAGGAGTTTTCTATTTGCTCTTGCATGTTTTGTGTTTACGGAAGTGGGAAACGTGTCGAGTCAAACACTGGAGCTTCAGAAGCTAACCTGTTACTTTGGGGAGGTGATCATGAAACGTTGAAATGGTTTCAGACCACTTTTCAAATCCATAAGCAATAATTCACTTCTTCAGAAAGAGATGAATGACTATTAATACATATGACACAGTAAAAGAACTCTCTTCCTAACTTGCCTTTTTTTGGAAACTGTCTACTTCCTCTTCTCCAACCCAACCCCCTCTATCCAAACAGACCAAAGAAGAAAGAGACATTTCTGAAAAAGTTAAATTTTTGCAGCAAGGAAGCGCTCCATTCCTTGAGTCTCAGGTAAAAGACAAACATAAAGGAATTGCCCAGAAGAGAATTGCTCTTCAGATTTTACTATCATTGAAATGTCTGTAGTTTTTACTTTCCTTTTTACATTTACCTCGCATAAAACGAAGGTAGGTATGTCAACGTTTGCTTGGATTCTGGGGAGGGGAAAAGGGAATTTTCTTACTTTAGTTATCAATTAGCCATTATTCCTTGATGGGTCTTACTCTACTGTGATATCTGTGTTTGCTCATGGAAGCATTATAATGATGCTTTCTAATATTATAATTGGACTTTTTACTCTCTATTTTACCTATAGAGTGATACTAATTTAGATGACCTTGACTGATGTTGAAAGTTCTGAACTCTTACTGGTTTTCCCACTAGCCGAGTCTGATACAGAAAATGCAGGAAGGAGACTCTGCGGGTTCTGTGGTTACCTCTCGCCAAATCATTTTCCAGAAAACGGTCCCATCGACCCTAGAGGTTATTTTTCAATTCATTTCCTTTAATCCAGCACCAGCATGTAGATCGATCTGTAATTATTGTTCGTAAGGCACACGCATTTCAAGATTCCGTTTTTAGGCTAAGATAAATAGGCAGGTAGAAAACGCTGTAGCTTAAAACGTAAATCAAGGTGCTCACCTGCCCCTGGTTTGATTTCTCGTCCCCTCATGATCTGTTAGAGTAGTCTGCAGCCTGTTCCCATCCTAGTAGCCTTCTCAAATACAGGTTTCTTAACTTTCACTTCTTCTGCTGTATTGGAACAAAGTACCGAGGAAAGTGGCAAAGAAACTACTCAGATGATGAACTTCGCTTGTAAATACGATTGGAACACGGTACAGACCACCATGAGCTGTTGATAAGAGGCTCCAACAATGCCCCAGCGGTGGGAGTACTTCCTGGCTGTGCCTTGAGTAGGGCACGCTCAGCGCTTATTGGATAGTAGGTGCTGTAGTGAGTTCGATCCCCCAAATGAGGAAATAGAATTTACAAACAAAATGGTTTTCACAGAAATTCATGGGATTCTGACAAGTTCTTTGTGAAAACAGCAGATATGAAGTATACATGTCCTGGAAAATGGTCTTTTTGTGCCCATACAAGCTAAATGATTTGTATAGCAGCTTCAGTAACATCATTTAATCTTGAAATGTAGAATGATCAGATGCTTAGCATAAGGTCAGATAGAATCTTGGAAACATTTACCGTCAAGGTTCGCTCCCGTTTAAAGAAATCTGCAATTAAAACTCTACATGCAGACTGTATTCCAAGTTGAGGGTTTGTAAATTTCAGATAAGAAGAGCTTTGCGACCATAATCATTAGACATTAACACCAGCCCCGTGCGGTCACATCGCAATGTAGCTTTTGCCCTGGTTTTCTTAAAGGATTCTTATTTTAGAAATGAGACCATCAGAATTTCTAATTTAGCTTTTATATTTCAAATATAGGGCACAGAGGATTGGGTTATTGTAGACAAAGTACCCACTGAGGTAGTTGACGGTGATTCGAGAAAGATTGTGACTTACAAGGTGGTGACCGTGAGCAGTAGAAGCGGTGACATCCCCGCTGATCTGTTAAGATCCGGTGCCCTTGAAATGCAGAGCTTCGATGACTTGGCCCGGGAAATGCAGTTGGGAGGAGAAAGCAAACAGAAAATATACACTCTGGGCAAATCCTATGACACAGTATCTGGGAAGATCGTTACCATGACTGGAAAAGGCAAGGAGGGGGAGAAGGGAGTGCAGCCCTGCAGTCTGGAAACCTTTCAGAAAACAGACACAGGATCGTCAGAGTCCGTGAAGGTCATTCCAGTCATGGCCGATTATGAGGTCCCGGATGCCGTCCCTGATGAGAAATCCAAAAGGGGACCTGAGGTCCACACCCCCAAACGGAAATTGTCTGAATCCCTGGCTCCCATCCAGGAAGCCGAGTCCCGGCGGCCAAGCCCCGAGGAAGAAGAGCTGCAGAAAGCCCCGATGCTGGGCCGGGACACGGGACCCCATGTGGGGCTGGACAGCACGCGCCTCAGCAGGACGGAGCTGCTGCCTGAGGGCGAGGTCTTGAAAGTGGGGCTCTTTGGTCCCAGGCGGAAGAGCCTGTCTGAGTGGAGATACTCCCAGGAGCCGGCCGTCACCGTGGCCACTGCTCATTACGTTACTGAGTCGGCCACGTCCCGAGTTGTGGTAACCAGTGCCTTTCGTTTGGGCCACCGTTTCAGATTCCAGCATGATGTTTTTTTGAGGCAGTGCCCTTCCACCCTCAACTTTTCTGTTCCACTTGCTGTTTGGCTTTATGTTGAGAGCAGCCGACCCAAGCTTTTTAATTTTTTTCATGGTCAGACCAATACTGCGCAATCCAGTATGAGCATTAAAACACTTTCCGTTTTATTTCCAGCTCCCCGATCCCGAGATGTGGTAGTGCTGCTGGGGCTTGCAATGAAGGGAGAATGGTCTGCTTACACCAGCACCGCCCATATCCTAATAACTCTCTCCGCTTTACCAAACAAGAGCTCATGGTCACCTCAGTCTGCTATTTTATTTCCCATTCTTTTCTGTTTCCAAAATCTGTATGGTAGATGCCCTCCTCCCTCCTCCCACCTTCCTCCCCTACAGTTTTGTCTAACCGGCTGTGAATGGGAATGTGCCCGCCTATGTTCCTGTCTCTGTGCTTGACTGTCCCTTTCTTTGTTCACTCAGACTAAACAGTCTTCTGCTGAAAAGCTCATGGATGGCTCTGAAATCTTCAGTTTATTAGAGTCTGCAAGAAAACCAACAGAATTCATAGGAGGGGTTACTTCTACTTCTCAAAGCTGGGTTCAGGTGGCCAATTGCTTCCTCTTTGGTGTTCCTGACACCGCCTAGTTGCCTTTCTTTATGCCCTTTTGGTGTGCGCACAGAGGTGTGGGTGCGTGCGTGAGTGCTTGCGTGCATGTGTGTGTGTTTTGCATCCAAAATGGCTTTGCCTTAAACACCTCAGAGTTCTCTTTGGTGGTTTTCTTTTAGTGCCTGCTTGGCATAGCTGTCATGTGCCTTTAGTTGCATCCCTAGAACTTATATTCAAAAGGCAGTCATGTTGAAAAAGTTACATAGCATTTAATTTTTTTAAGCATTTTATGTCATCCATTAGGTCTCAGAAAGCTGCCACAACTGATGGGAACATGCTACAATGCTTTCATTTGGTTTTGTTTTCATTGCATTTTATCTGCATCCTCTTTCATTTGCGGCTATCCCGACACAGCAACACAGGCTCAATTGGAGGTGTGGGGGGTAGTGTCAGGGCAGGGGGCACGCATCTGAGATCCTGGTGGGAGCAATGAAAGCTAATTTATATTTTCTGTAAGCATTTCTGGTCATGAGCCCTTGACACTGGCTTTAAGCACCCTGGTGAGTGGCTGCTTTGGTTTTGATTTTTGTGGTTTGACCTTTGGTTTGTGGAAGGTTGTCACCCTGACACTGCAGTCCTTTTCCATGCAGAAAACGGAAACCAAGACGGGGTCCAGCAAGACTGAGACGGAAACAAGCCAGCACCCCGAGCCTCTGAGCACCGAGAAGGTTGTGCAGGAAACCGTGTTGGTGGAGGAAAGACATGTGATGAATGTGCATGCGAGTGGGGATGCTTCTTATGCAGCTGGAGAGGACGTGGATGCTGGAGCCCAGGCAACGTCTGCCGACGCTTCTAGCTTAAAAGGGAAGGAGGGCTCTCCTCTGATGGAGGGGCCTAAGGAGGAGAAGGGGAAGGTGGCCGATAAAGCTGTCCTCGAACAGGAAGAGACGGCCGCTGCCTCCCATGAGCCAGAGGAGCAGCAGAGTGCAACAATCCACGTTTCTGAAACTTGGGAACAAAAACCACATTTTGAGGTAACTAGCAGTTGACGTTCCTTTTGGCACTGATGTAAACTGATCTGTGAGTCCCCGAAATTTGGTTAAGCGTAAAGGGGGAGCTAAGTTTAGCTTTCTGCCTTTTCCAAGTGCAGTTTGTTTCTCCTATTTCCCTCTTGCATGGCAATAGGGTCTCCATGCTTGTTTCCATCTTTGGGGTCCCATGCAAACATGTTTAATGATGATTAATTATGTGCGGTTCCAGGAAATGGTTCCTACCTTCGTTGTAATTATTGGCAGTAAACCCGGGGGCTGCATGGCCAGCCGTACTAGTAGAAGATTTGGTAAATTTTTTTTTGATCGATGTACTTCACCAGAAGGACCAAAAACCATGCTTGCCCCCATACCAAATGCCAGAACTTTGTTCTTTATCTCTTTTACTGAGATTCCTGAAGTATATGGGGTGGGGGGTGGGGGGGTTAATGTCTTCGTATTTCTTCCTTCTTTCTTTCATTAAATAAAAGGCAAATTGATGATTTTTGATCTGTTAGTTTAGGCGAGAGAGGAGGGGGATCATAAAAAGAGTTTCTTCAACATGTCCTCCAAAATGCTTTCCTTTACCTGGAACATCCCATGTTAAAAAAAAAAAAAAAAGTCTATGGAATTTTGAAAGACTGACCTGGTCTCTGCCTCATGCCTCAAGTTACTTCCCCATGTTATACGTAAACATCTATTTCATACTAACCTGTGCTTATCCATACCCACTGTGGGGTAGGGGGGTGGTGCACCAAAATCCTGTCTTCGTGCAAACTGTAATCGCAGCTCTACCTACTTCCCATTGGCTCAGTCATCAACCGTGAAGACAGAAACCATCAGCTTTGGCAGTGTTTCACCAGGAGGCGCAAAGCTAGAACTTTCTACCAAGGAGGTGCCGGTCGTTCACACGGAAACAAAAACCATCACGTATGAGTCATCACAGGTAAGACGTCTACGAAGGCCAGAGCCCCGGCACTTTGTTTTTGCCCTTTAATGGCTGCTGCATTTGACTATAGCTCATGATACTTAGTTTGTGAGACTCCGAGGACCCAGCAGCCAAACGGTGTCTATCAAGTGTGATAACGGTAGTAATTACAACTTTGTTACCAGTCCAGAAGCTTCAGGTGACTTGAACAGGTCTCCATAGATCTCAGAATATGGAACAAGGCTCAGGAACCTATTTCCCGAGCCAGAGATAAGGGAAGATACTAGCTCAGCAGACCCTACTCACATTTCTCAAGTCCTGGTTTTTTAACGATGGTTAATTCTGGCCACATTCGTGGTCGTCTGTCCCGAGAGCCACAGCGCCCGAAAGGCGGAGTAAACAACGCGGTGACGGTGGGAGATGACTGAATCATGGTGATGCCCCGACTTAATGTAAGTATTCGAGTGTGGTGTCTGTTCCTCGCCTTCGTAGGTTGATGCCGGCGCTGATTTGGAGCCGGGCGTGCTCATGAGCGCACAGACGATCACATCTGAAACCACCAGCACCACAACCACCACCCACATCACCAAAGTAAGTGGGGCGGGAGCAGACAAAAGGAAGGCATTTACACGGAGCTATTTTCCAGTTGGGCTGTACAGGCAGGGTTACGTGACTATCTGGAGGCCCAGATAGCTATGTTAGAGCTTTCATGCCCACTCCGTTTATGGGGCATTTGCCCCTGTGTGCTCATTTTTGTTTAGGTATATGCATTCTGATACCCTTTGCTTAACATGGAACTCCAGTCCTTGGCATATGGTAGGTGTTCCAGAAACACTGGCCGGCCACACCCAAAGGACTCCCTGAGAGTGACACTTCTGAAATTAATGATTTTAAATAATTGCCAAAGAATTGTTTCAACTCTTAATGAGTGCCGTTAGTTAAAACACTGTTAGCGTTTCCGGCCATTGCCCCCACTGAAGAAGGATTGTTCCTCCTGGTGGGTACATTTGTAACACTTGTCCGTCCCTTGCAGACTGTGAAAGGAGGCATTTCAGAGACGAGAATTGAGAAGCGGATAGTCATCACAGGAGATGCAGACATTGACCATGACCAGGTAAGTGCGCGTGAGGATGGTAAATACCCGGGCAGAGAACCAGAGAGACACTGGTCAGCCCTGCTCTTCCCAGTGGTGGTGTTCTAGTCCCTCGTGCAGTGTAAACAGTTTTCTGAATTAACTTTTCAATGCGCAACGTACGATTCCTTTTGTGATCATTGTACCTCATTTGTGAATGACGTATATAGATCTAGCTCGTAAGTCTCCACCTTGCTACTGATCATGCATGTTCCACCTCCTTTTTTGTCTTTGCCCTTCTGTGATTTCCTGGGGATAGGCGCTGGCTCAGGCAATTAAAGAGGCCAAAGAGCAGCACCCTGACATGTCAGTGACCAAAGTAGTGGTCCATAAAGAGACAGAGATCACACCGGAAGATGGAGAGGATTGACCTCAGGTAAGAGGCGACGTTGATTCTCTAGGCTTGGCCTTGGCTGGCATGTAGCATGGGGCGCTTCCCCCATCCTTCCCGTGCTTCCTCCTCCTCCTTTCTTCTCTCACTGGCATTGGGAGGCTGCTCACCGAGGGGCTGCAGAATTGGTTTGTGGGTGCTGGTTTGTTTCAGACTGGGGAGTTCCACACTGTGGACTTTTTTGCATATTCTGTCAGCTAGAGGATCAAGAAAGAAGCAGTCTTTGCTTGCATGGTCTTGCTGGTGTTTCCTTTTCATTCGTGCCCTGTGTTCTTCGTTACCCAAATTCAATTCAGGGATCAGATTTGATTTCACTTGCCATGTGGCCTAATCGGAACGAAGGCCAATGTGTTCCAAAAGGTACGATTTGTGTGTTCCAAATACCAGGAAAATAAAGCGTACCCCTTTCTCCTTTTGACGGCAACAATATCCCATTTCACTCTAAGCTTTCTCTGCGTCTGTGTTTGGTTATGCTTCTGTTCATGCTCTCTGTTTGCTTTGTTTCTGAATTTGAAACACGGACATTCACTTTCATTTTGGATGGCTTATATTTTCTGCGTTCTTTGGAGTGTTGTTTTTTTTTTTTTCTTCTTAGTATAGCGTTATGTCTCAGGAGGAGGCAAAAATGCAGTCTTGTGCTCCTGCTTTTCTCTAGAAAGCGTGTGCATGCCTTTCCAATGGCTGTTTGGCTGACATCGTGAGCAGATAGCGTCTTCTGTGTGCGCACAGACTTCTTAAGCAAACTCACACTCATTTGCTGTGCAAGAACTCATAGGCCCAGAGCATCCCCAGAGGGCTCTGAGTGCTGAATGCAACCATTGAGCTACTTGCATACTTGGTTATGTGACAAAAGTCGCTTAAATGCTTTATGTGAATAAATGAAATAAGGAAGTTCTCTAACGTTGGTTTAGGAACTATAGATTGAATAGCAGTCTCTCTTAAAGAAAAAAAATACAAAAGTCACTCATTATATTCAAATTAATCATATAAGTTGAAAGACAGCAGCAAAAGGGTTCTCCAGCGAGCTTCAGCCGCTTGGGTGGTGTTGTAGTTAACGTAAGAGAATGCGTATCACGGACTTCTGCTGGAATTTTACAGTGTGTTGGCAAAAAGTGCACGTAATAACCTGCAAGAAAATTTTGTTTGTGGCCTTAATCTGAGGAAGACTCTCGGGTGTTTTCCAAGGAGTAACTGATCAAATCTCTTTCCTACAGGAATAACTTAGCCTGCTCATGAATCCAGTCATGCAAACCGTTAGGAAAACCAGAGCCTATATGGAGTTCCCTCTTCTAACCCAACTGACTTGTATCTGCCCATGGAAAATTTCAATCCAGAAGAACTGACCTTGACCATTAATAAAGACACTGGCAGAGAGATCTTCCCATAATAAAGCAATCCGAATCAGCATCACAAAACTGATACTGCATGAAGCAACGATAAAATTACAAAAGAGTAGCATTTTTAATTTCCACCAAGTGTCTAAGTTTTCAGCTATACCTGCACGTTCATAACCAACAATATAAACCGTGATCTCATGTAACACATAAACAATTCATGCCTTTCATAGTTTATTATTAAAGTCTAAACAAAAATCGCAATTTCTTAGGTGACAGATCTTTTGTTTACAGACAAATGAAGATTACCCTAAAATGCTAGAAGCTGTCTAGGTCTAATGTGTCAGGTTTATTCCAGATTAGATGTGCCAATAACCGAGTTTATTCAGTAAACAACTTGAATCTTGTACTTGTCTCACCTGGTTTTATTACTCTCACCCATACACAGCAACGACTCTCAATCCTCCGGAAATATTTAATGCTTACAATCCTGCTTTGTGTATCTAATTTAATTCGTTATAAGGTAGTACTGATTTTAGCATATTAATGTGATTTCTTCCTTGTTCGCTTTGGTCTGCGTCCAACCTGGAAAGTTTCCAAGAGTTCCCTAACAAGCCCTGAATATGTAAATTGTCATTATTTGGGGGAAGAAAACCTGTTTCTCTTAGTTTACAATATTATGAAATTTCACTCCGGAAAGATCTGTTGGGCTTCTGTTGCATTGTTTTCTCTCTTCGTTTCTTCTTCCTTGTGTTTTTAAGTTGATTTTTCTTCTTTTACTTGAAAAAAAAAAGGTGTTTTATTTCTAAATCTGGTCCATATTTACAATCTAGTTCAGAGCCAAGCCTTAAATTGTACAGAATTTCCACTGTAATTAAACTATTTAGTGTTTAGTTATAAATAGCCTTCAAAAGATATATTCTCCATTACACTGTCAACTGCATCACACAGCCCATGGTGAATGTATGTTTCCGCATAGCGAAATAAAAATGGTAAATGCATTTAAAGCTGTGATTCTCTGTGTGTAATAATTTCAGTATGGTCTGCGTTTAGCCAAGAGGGTAGCACTTGCATGACATCTAAAGGCCTCATTCATCTGCCTTGTGTAGAGCATGTCTTTTTACAGGACAAAATGTGTCTGTGGTGACATAGTGTATGGATCCTTCAAGGTACGGGAGACAGGAAACAGAAGATGTACACATACATGTTTGGTTGCCTAGGAAGGCCTTAAAAAGTACAACTAGTTACCACAGAATCTCATTTTCAGGGTTAGGTTTTTTATAAAGAAAGAGGTTCTCCTCTAAACCCAGTGTTTCTGGGTGCTTGTAATCTACCGGAGAGACCCCTTTCTCTCATACGTCAGCTCCACAGCGGAACAGATTAGCCGCGACATTCTACAAGGGCCCTTGCAGTGTGTTCCCACAGCTCAGCTATCTCAAACTCCTTCAGGCCAGGCGATCTAGCACCTAACTGCTGGCCTACACTAGCACACCTCACGGGCTGTTTCTTTGTCAACTAATTTTCTTAAAACTCTTTTCTAGAGAATTACTGGATACGACCCACATGTCTTCGTCTTAGTGGGGGAGCCAAATTCTTACATTTACCTGCGAAGATGTTATCTGCTGCTCTTACTGTCAGTACTGGTTATTCATTTTAGATACTGAAGCATCATTTTACATTTGAAGACAATCAAAAAATGTGTCGAGACCATACACAAAAATGAACTCAAAATGGGCTAAAGACCTAAACGTGAGACCTGAAACTACACAAGTTCAAAAGAGAGCACCGGCAGGACTCTCTCTGACATCAGCTATAGCAACATTTTTCTAGATATGTCTCCTGAGGCAAGGGATACAAGGCAAAAATAACCTGTCAGGACTACATCAAAATAAAAAGTTTCTGCAGAGGGGCGCCTGGGTGACTCAGATAGTTAAGCCTCTGCCTTCTGCTCAGGTCATGATCTTAGGGTCCTGGGATCGAGCCCTGCATCGGGCTCTCTGCTCAGTGGGGATCCTGCTTCACCCTCTCTCTCTCTGCCTCTCTGCCTACTTGTGATTTCTCTCTCTCACTGTCAAATAAAATAAAATCTTAAAAAAGAAAAAAGAAAAAATCTTCTGCAGAGCGAAGAAAACAATCAGCAAAAGCAAAAAACAACCTACTAAATGGGAGAAGACATGACATATCTGAAAAAGGACTATTATTTAAAATACATAAAGAAGTTATACAAATCAACACCAAGAAAATTCCAAATAATCTGATTTAAAAATGGGCAGAAGACATGAACAGACATTTCTCCAAAGACCTACAGATGGCCAACAGACGCATGGAAAGATGCTCAGCGTCACTCGTCATTAGGGAAATGCAAATCAAAAGTATAACAAGGTATTACCTCACACCAGTCAGAATGGCTGAAACAACACAAGAAACGAGTTGTTGGCAAGAATTGGAGAAAAAGGAGCCCTCGTGCACTTGGTGGGAATGCAAACTGGTGCAGCCACTATGGAAAACAGTATGGCTGTTCCTCAAAAAAATTAAAAATAGAACTACCCTATGACTTAATAATCACACTACTGGATATTTACCCAAAGAATACAAAAACACTAATTTGAAAGTATATATGTGTATCCCTATGATTATTACAGGAATCTTTATAATAGCCAAATTATGGAAGCAGCCCAAGTATCTGTTGATAGATGAATGGATAATGATGTACTGTGTGTATAAAGGTACTAGAATGGAATATTACTCAGCCAGCAAAAATAATGAAATCATGCCATTTGCAACAACATGGAGCTAGAGTGTAGAATGCTAAGTGAAATAAGAGAAAAAGACCACATGATTTCACACGTTTGGAATTTAAGAAACAAAACAAACTAACAAAAAGACAAAGCAGACTCAACTATCGAAAACAGGGTTGCTGGAGAGGTGGGTGGGGGATGGGTGAAACAGGTGAAGAGGATTAAGAGTACACTTGCCATGAGGAACATTGAGTAATGTATGGAATTGTGGAATCATACAATTCGTACAATTCAGGTATCATACACCTGAAACTAATACAACACTGATAATTGGAATTTTTTTTAATTTGAGAAATTAAAAAATTTTTTGAAAAAAATGAACTTTTCGATATATGAAAATGATCATTAGCCTCCCAAGGATGACTGTACCCAATCCGCTTAGTTTATATCCATCAAGCTGCCCCCACGTTTGTTTTAATTTTTTAAATATTTAACTATAATTGACATATAACATGCTTCAGGTGTACCACATAGCGATTCAATATTTGTATGTATTGCGAAATGATCACCACATTGTCTCGTTAACATCCATCACCATACATAGTGACGAATTTTTTTTTCTTGTGGAGAACTTTTAAGATTTACTGTTTTAGCATCTTACAAATGTGTAGTACAGTGTTAATTGTAGTCAACTTGCTGTGTTCACAGTTTTAAACCAAATGGGGAGTGTTTTCATGTTTTTCCGTCCCCAGCAGTAAGTGCTTATTCCTTTTTATAAACTTACATTATCAGAGAAGTTACACATGTTCAGCTATCTTTCCTTCTATTATGCTCTTCATAATTTTTCCAGCCTGCATCCACTGTTATTGGGGTACTTGGGTATTTATGACAGCAGTCCCAAAATCTAGTACCAAAGGCAGTATCTGCTTTTATTGCTGCATAACAAATTACCACACAATTAGCAGCTTAAAACCACATGCATTTCTATCTCCCTGTTTCTGTGGGTCAGGGGTTGGGGCCTGGTCCCACTGGCTTCTCTAAAAGGCTACAGTCGAGGTGTCAGCCAGGACTGGGGTCTAATCCACTAGCTCAGCTGGGGAAGGATCCAGTCCCAAACTCTATAGTTGTTTGCCGTGTCATTTTCTCGTGGTTGTGGGAGCCTTGGAAGCTTGCTTTTCAAAACCAGCAGTGAAGGGGGAGACTCTAGAGTGTGTCTGCTAGCAAGACCATCTTCTGTAATGTAACATAATCAAATGAGTGGCTTCCCATTACTTCTGCCATATTTTGTTGATTAGAAGCAAGTCGTAGGGTTCTGTTGACACCACTAACAAATTTAAAATTTAGATTTGGAGATTATTAATCACTAATATTCCCTAACTCAGCAGTTTTAAATTTAGATTCCTCTAATGTATGAAATTGGCTTATGCTCGTTGCTGTGCTCTCAGATAATCTCAGAATATTTTTTACCCTTTAGTACGAATACAGAAAAATGTAGCATTGCATTAGGTGTGAAAAAGACCCTGGAGATTACACATTCAGAAACTGAAGAATTCCACTTGGCTCTTTGCCCCCACAGAGAAGAGACACTTGCTTCTCAATTTGCTATAGAATTCAAGTAAGAAAAAAAGAATCTATGCTTCTCTCAAACGAGCAGAAAAATGACTTGGAAACCTACAGGCAATATGGTGCAGCCGTTGGTAACCGGCATTTTCCTGCTGATTGCCCAGGGATCTGAAGAAACATTAGTTATTGTGTTGCCAAAGTTAGAACCGTCCTTAGGATACTTTCTCTGGAGTCCTGGAGTGAATTGCTAGGTCCAGACAATAGCCTTCTCTTAGGTAGAATGCACCCTGCTTTCAGATGGAGCCCCGCCTGTGTGCTGAGCCTCAGCTTGTGGGACACCCCGGCTGCGTTAGCATTGAGATTGGTGGATGGACTTCTGCGGATGGTGACAAGTCCACTGCCCCAGTAAGAGAGCCGAGGGCAATGCTAACAAGGTGGAGATTTTAGCCAGTTTCACTCTCTCAAAAGATTCTTCCCATTCCTTTCTTTTATATTCTTCTATATTCCTTTCAAATTTCACAGAGTCCTTTCTGCTTGGGCACAATAAGTTAGACCACACACCTTGTAGGATAATTCAGCTACCACCCTTTTTTTCCTACAATTACTATAATCAATTTCAATTCTGCTGACTTCTTTCTAGCATAGCTACTATGCAATTAATATCAACACTGGCAATTTTTAAAAAATTAACATAGATGCCAGAATATGGATCCAAAATTGCTTCTGAATTATACATGAGAGTTATACATACCTTTCATTAAATGCTTTTTTATCCTCCTCACTGTAGTTAACCAGTGGTCAAAAGTGTCTGTCTTGGATTGCTATAGAGGTGGTCTCATGTTTTAATGAGCATTTATTCATTTAGTAAAATTGGATTATCCCATTTTTAAAAACCACATTTTGTGACAGGCCATCGGGGCGTGTCCCATTGTATTCTCAAAAATGACATTTCATTTTGACAAATTGTTTATCAGAGCTGATTAACTCTGAAGAAGGGTAAGAAAAGGAGCTAACACTTTCTGATGAGTGTGATTGCCAGCATACGCACATGCACACATGATTGCCTGTTGTGTTTCTTTGAGACAAATGTGATCTTCTCAGAGATCGGCCACGTTCTTGTATTACAAGCTTAAGGAAGAGCTTATCAGCCAAGATAGTATATGGATTTTTAGCGCACCCCATATACAACTGGGAGGAACCAGAATATTTTTTTGCCTAAATTTCACGTTTGTTCCCCATGAATAATACTGAAGTCACAATGCTCTCTGAAGATAAGCATCATTTTCATTCCAGGCTTGGTGAGGAGCCAAAGGAGAAGTCACCTCTGGTGGGAGGTGTAAGTTGGGAGATTGTCTGCTGTAGGATCAGTAAACACAGTCCTAAATTTTTTACAAAGCTTTTGAACCAGCAAATCCACTTACTGGGATTTTTCCTAAATAAGACCAAGTTGTTACAGGAACTAATATACAGGATGTTTAGCTCAGTGTTGCTCATAAAAATGAAGACATTTAGACAGTAAATACTGAGCAGTGGGAAATTTGTAATAATAATGGGAAAGACATAAGATGGAATACTGTACAACCAGCCAAAATTATAAAATACGAACCTCATAGAGGAAATCATCCTAATATGTTAAGTGTAAAAGTGGATAAAACAGTTTATACGTTATGGTGTTAAATAGGTAAAAATGTTTACACCCAGAAAAC